GGGGGGGGGTTGTAGAGGGTGGTGATGATGGTCGCTACGCACTATCTGAACGGAACGCTTGGGGTTCACGGGAGCTGGTGGCGCGGGGACTTGGTTCGGTGTGTCCAGGCCAACGACTAGCCGATGTAGCTTGTTCAGGTCGTCGATGTCGGCGGAGAGGGTAGGGTCGGAGGAGGAGATAGCCTTGGTCGCCGGGTCGATGGTGAGTGGAAGGGGTGAGTAAGTTTCTAAGTCCATTGCGGGGTTGTTGCTTGCAGATGCTCGCGATCACGCAAGGATATCTTATGGTGAATGTCAATCTGATGCGGACAATTGTTCCCAAATGCGCTAACCCACATTCACATGCACACCCACGCACGAGCCACGGCCGCTGCCCGCCGCGCCCGCCCGCTTCTCTCGTGGTTGCTATTTACAGCGTCGCCAGGGTCGTGACATCCCCTCCAATGTCTTAGTCTTACCCAGCTAGCTCCACCGGAATGGCAGTTCGTGGGTGTGAGCGCCTACTGTGCTTGTTCAACATGAGCAGGGTATCTTCCATACCAGAGTCTGACAACACGCAGCGTCCTTGTCAAAAGCTCCGTCAACGTTGTCTGACCCAGCCTTTCAACGTGGCTGAGTAGCCCTGTCTCTCCGGCACGACTGGCGCTCGGCAGCCTTGTCAGGAGATTGGGTAGTCTGTGTTTACATTGCGGTCACTCGCCCTTACAACACCAGCAACCAGTTTAGTAACAAGCCGTCGACATGCGCATCGAACAAAGCAACATCCAAAAGACCAAAGTCGGCCTCCACGCCGCACAAGCCTTCTGCATCTTCGTCGGAGGCTGCCTGTCATTAGCCGTCTTGACGAAAGATGGAGGAACGAGCGGTACACTGGGCTTCTACTTCGGCCTCGTACGTACTTCCACCCGCTCTGTTTGCGACAAAGACTAATACGCAAGCGCAGTGCTTCCTCACCATCCCCGCCCTGGTCTACCAAGTCATGGTACCCATGTGGACTCGCGCCTGGCGATTCGCCAACATGTACGCCTACGCCATTGTTGACTTGGTCTGCGCGATTCTCTGGTTCATTGCATTCATCGCAGTAGCGGCTTGGAACAGCAGCGGTGTGCGGAAGGGGGACGGGGATAAGGGTAATAGCAGCGAGGAGAATGGGAGTTGCTCGCACTTCGCTTATGGCAGTAAGATTAAATGTCTTGCCAGCAAAGCCAGTGTCGGGTTTGGCGTCATCGTGTGTCTGTTGTTTGTGGTCACGACGGTCATCAGCGTACAGGGTGTGCTGAAGTACCGACAAACGGGCGTCATGCCGACGGTGGGGACGAAATTACATGGTGGTGCTGAGCGATTGAGGTCGGATGATGCCACTAAAGATCCTTGGTCGACGAATACCGATGAGCTTGATCCGCAGAATGAGGAGCACGACGGTCCGTTTGAGGATGAGCGACATGCGTATGGTCAAGTGCCACGACGGAATGAAGGACAGGGGTTCGGTCTGCTGGGTAATGATCGGAGTGGGCATACGAATACTTCGCATGACGAGACGGCGTCATTGGGCGAGCCGCATCCGGGTCGGCCGCTGGGGTATGATTCGCAGAGTAATCTGTCCGTGGCTCCTCCGGCGTACGATAATACTGCAGCGCCGAGTGCGTTGAGCCCGGGGGGGTATGAGATGAGTCCGGGAGGGAGACCGAATCTACAGACGGGCAGTTATGCGGATGGATTTCGATGAAGCCGTTGCTTTTATGTGTCGATATGAGGCGTTTGAGCGACATATTTTACATGCGTGTTGATACCCGTATACTACATCTGCAATATTTGGTATCCCAAGCATGTCCATAGTGTCTCCTGCCCTTCTTCTTCAGATGGCACACCTTTCTTTTGATTAAATCAATCTTGAGTTCCCGGAAGCTGCCGTGACCATCGACTCAACACTTGAACATCGTGCACTACATGTACTGTAGTGCACAGTCATCTGAAGATAACATGGAGTACGACCCAAAGACTGGTATGTCGTTGTGTATTGTTAGACCTTATGAATGATCTGCTTAAACCATCGAAGCGCAGTCAAGTACTTCGGACAAGAATTCGTTCGCCTTCGTGTCTGCGCGGGACCGATGGCCGACTATAATAGTGCGTCAAACATCACTATACCTGCAGGGCCTGCGTCTGATATCCATCGTAGACGGGAGCCATCGACGATGTGCACAAAGCAGTCTCGAAAGAGACCAACACCGAGAAGCAAGAAGAAGGCAAACGCATCACACAAGCAATAGCCGCCTTGAAGTATGAAATGCAACATGATCGACAGCTCACGCACGTCTTCCCACACGCTTTCAAGATCCAGGACCAAAGACACTAACATCTAGTTCAGTCCTCTCCCCGACGACGGCCAACCAGACATCGCACGCTACAACCAAGAGCTACAGCAACGTGGCAATCCGCACTGGCACGACGTCGCCTGGCTCTACGCAGAATGCTACCTCTACCGACGACTAAGTACCATCTTCTCCTTGTCCACGCACTGGAAAGGCTACGACGTTTTCAGCAAGCAGAAAATGTCCACCTTCCGCTCCTCCCGCCCCGCCGTCCTCGAGCTTGCGGCTCGGTACAATGATCTAACCTCACAGCTGCAATCTGATCACTCCTCGCTTGCCCAAGCTTCTGACTCCGAGCGGGAGAAGGCGGAGGAAATGCTTTTCATTGAGATGTCAGAGATTTGTCTTTGGGGTAATGCTACGGATTTGTCGCTGTTGACGAATCTTTCCTATGAGGACATTCAGAAGTTGCAGGGAAGTGAGAGTCGCAAGGCTAATGAGGACAAGATCCTTGTTAATGACTTCCATGCTGCGTTCGCGTGCCTGAAGAAGGCGCAGAAGTCCGGGGCTGGCGAACGTAGGGTCGATATCGTGCTGGATAATGCCGGGTTCGAGGTGTTTGTCGATCTTTTGCTGGCTGGCTACCTGCTGCAGTCGGGACTTGCGACGCACATCGTCCTGCACCCCAAGAATATTCCTTGGTTCGTCTCGGACGTCGTGCCGAAAGATTTCTCGGACTTGCTCAATGTGCTGCTTAATGCAAAGTCGTTCTACGAAACGCCTTCCGAAGACGATCAAGCGCGCGGTATCACGCCGCAATCACTCTCCGACACGGACGCGAAGAACTTGCACGCTTTGTTTGAGAACTGGAGTACCCTCTACGCCGAAGGCAAGATCCTATTACGACCGAACCTCTTCTGGACGGAGGGTGGATCGTACTGGCGCATGCCGAAGACCGCGCCGTCTCTCTACGAAGACCTACAGACCTCTGAGCTCGTAATCTTCAAGGGCGACTTAAACTATCGCAAGCTCACCGCTGATGCTCTCTGGGACCCTGCCACTCCGTTCACGGAAGCGATCGGTCCGTTGGGACCAGGTAGCGGAGTCAGAGTTTTGGCTTTGCGGACGTGCAAAGCTGATGTCGTTGTTGGGCTTCCCAAGGGTAAGGACGAGGAGCTCGGCGGCCCAGGCTCTGCGGGGGGTGGTAAGGAGATGGGTGGGAAGCGGGAGTGGGCGTGGAGTGGAAAGTGGGCTGTCGTGAGCTTGTGTGATGGTAAAGCATAGAGTGTTCACGCCGATTCATGCTGCCCAAAGCACCGCATATCTGTCCATAGAACATAGATGCCTGTTTGCGCTCGCGAGATGTATACAGGTGTGCTAAAGCGATGCGGAGTAGTACAGATCCATGAACCCAGGCCCACCGCAGTACTCATACACGTTACCGGCGCACCGCATCATGTCGGTGATGTTGCATTGTGCGAGGTGCCCGCCGGTCTGAGTCTCGGGTAAGATCTCATTCCCGCAGTAACACTCGGCCGCGTACTCAATGCTACATTACAAATGTCAGCCAGGTGAAGACTTAGTGCGAGCCAGCAGATGGTATACGTACCCTGCATAGTGATAGTAAGACCCCAAGCAGAATTTAATGCATTTCTCAATGGTCATATCCGCACTTCGGGTGTCGTTCCCTTGTATCGCTCGTCCACCCGGGCCGTTGGGGTCCACAAGGCAGCCCTGCGATACATACTTACCGATACTGGGCTTCACGACGGGTGGAACATACGCCGTGTTGTTGTATAGGCTGACGGCCGACGGGCCGCCGCAGATCTCTGGCTCGGCGCCGTAGCAGCGCATCTGGCACGTTTGGTTCGTTGGGGTTGTCGTAGCTGTGAGTTGGGCGCTCGTGTTGGTTATCTCGTTGCCGCAGAAACATCTATCAGAGAACATCAGCACCTCGTTCAGCTAACCTACAATTCGGATGGCTTACTGGTTGCCGAACTCAGTACCGTAGTACTGGAAGCCGAAGCCGTTGTTACCCGCAGCGCAGAAGTCAGCACACACGGTGAGATTCATGTACTGTGCAGCAGTCATGTCGCCATCCAGCAGTCGAGTGCCTTGCGCATTGTCTTGCCAACAACCAAGATAATTCGATCCGAAACCAGACGGTGGCGTATACGGCTGCGCGTTACCTGCTGTGTTGTCGTTGTTGCCGAAAGCGACGAAGCTCGTGTTGACGTTCTTGTAAATGTCGATGTACTGAAGCCCGCCGCAAAACTCTTGTTCGACGTCTCCGAGAGTCATGGTCCCGCCACAATTCCACGTGCATTGGTTCACGGTACCATTGGGTGCCATAATAGCTGTTGGGTTGATCTCATTGTCGCAGTGACATTCCTGCGCATACTCGACGCCGGAGAAGCGATAGCCGTTCGCCATGCAATAATTCTGACAGAACTCCACTGTCATGTTGGTGTAGTTCGAGTAGAAGAGCCCATTGAGAGTCTTGAAGCCAGGAGTACCGCCGGTATCATTGTAGCAGCCCATGTATATCTGTTCGGGCAGACCAAACGGCTGACCTGGCACAGGTGATGCGGTTGCAAGCGGCATACCCATTGGCGTAGGGGTGATGGACGGCAAAGCTACGCTCGCAGGACATTGCATGGATGCGGCCGGTGCAGCTTCGGGTCCGTAAGTGATTTCGATGCAGCCAGGCAGCTGCGTCAGCAGGCCCTTGACAGGCTCACCAATCTGCGGCGGCCGCTCCGGGCAATTCTCAGGGTATCCGTTTGAGTCTTGCTGGTTCAGAACAGGGCATTCCTGGATCACACCATCTGGTGCACCGTTGTACAAGCAGTTGTTGACTGCTTCTGTCTGCACGTCCATGTCCCAGCCGTTGATGAAATCACCATGAAAACCGTAGCCCGTCGGATCGCCTTGGGAAAACACGAACCGGTCGTCGTCTGTGCCCTCCGGCACCGAGGTGACCGCGTACAACGTCTCGACGAAGATTGTTGGGAACTGATACGGGTAATTTGGCGGACAGATGCCGTTGTCAATCCCACTAAGATAAGCAACATGGCTATTATCCGTTGTGTAATTGTGAATGCCATCCCAGCACGACTGAAAGGCAATCTGTGCGCGCATGCCGTTCACGCATTGCGTCGCGTTATACATATACGGCATGTTTGGCGGAAGATCTCCGGCGGTAAGGCAGAGGAAGCTGACGCGGTCGGCGATCGGTTGCCCAGGGTATTCGGCATTGCCCCAGGTCAAGGTCTGGTTGTCGTAACTTCTCGCGGCCTTGTTGCCAGAGAGTATCTGCAAGCCTGGAGGGAAGGGTATGGTAGTCGCAACGTTTGGTCCGCGGCCCAGATAGTAGACCACGCTTCCAAAGTGAGGCACTTCGTAGAAGCTCCCGTTCGGGTAGTGATAGTATAACAATGGTGTCCAGTATGCAGACTTATCTGCATGGATCTCGCAAGAAGAACAGGATGAATTCACCATGTCCTCATATGTCGAGTTGACGCCGATATCTGCTCGCCCTTAGCCACTGCGTAAGCCTATCGACTGTTCTGCGGAACCTACTTGATCCGCCAACAATAGTGTGTGCATGCGCTGAAACGGTGTGTGGATTGACTAGAGGGTCGACGCGGCCCGTCTGGATGATAGCACAGTTCATCCGCCAGAACGCATGGGTGAAGCGAAGGTGAGGCAGCACGAGGGCCGCAGAAAGAAAGGACTTCATCTTGAACTGTGAAAATACATATAGAAGGCAAACACCGCAACGGCTGTCTTGACCATAGACTCGACACCATCGACTGGTAGGAAGACTTGGCGGAAAAGATCACATTCCAGGAAATGAGCAGACCACAACAAGCGAGTCAGGAATGTAACTCACCTCGTACGGTGCCACGCCATCTGCGTGCGGATATCGCACCTCTACCTTCCATCATGAGACTGTGGCTCGATGGTTAGATTCCAGATGGACATTGCCGTGCTGAAGGCAGAAGCCCCATCCTCTTGGATCGTTGACATCGCGGCGCAAGATTGTCCCATAACAAGGCGTGGTTCCCAGGTGATCAAGCTATGGCTTGGTCAAGAGAAATTGCAGTACCATCGATACTCATGGAGCATGTCAGTACTGTGTTGAGGATGGTCGAGCGTGAGTTCGTACGGGTGGTGTGATGAGGTGGAGGTGGAGATGCAGCGATGGCGTAAGAACGACGCTACAATGCGATGTGGATCTCCAACAGCTTGGCAGCGATCGACCAAGGCAGGCACACTTCCTGTTTGTGAGCACTCCTTCATTTCAGCCGCAACGATGCATTCACGATAGCATGCTGGCATGCTGGATACCAGTGTTGCTGGACGTTCACTTCTGACCCTCCTTGAATCGGCATGGACATCTAGCTATGGCGGAAACCAAACCCATTCCCCCTCCGCGTCCGACAACCACCTCCGCCAATGCTTCCAACGTCAGCGTCGCCTCTGGCCTCCGTAGCCGGTTTGCAACGCGCAACGACAGCGGCAACACCGTCTCCCCAACTCGCAAGAGACCAGAAATCCAACAGCAGGCGTCGAGCACCCGCAATGGAACGCTCGACCCACCACCACCCGACCTTCTTCGTAGGCGCTCCTCCATACTTTCCGACACCACTCAGTCACTCGACGAGATCATCAACCCGAGCTCGAGCAAGCGTGGAAGCTCGGGCGACGACAGCGAAGTCACGCATTGGCACAGCATTCCCATAGCGTTTGCGCTACTTCCAGCCGTTGGCGGCCTGTTCTTTCAGAATGGCTCAGGCTTCGTGACCGACGTGCTGTTGCTCACATTGGCCGGTGTCTTCATGAACTGGAGTATACGCATACCATGGGACTGGTACTACTCAGCTCAGGCTCTCCGAAGGGATATCGAGCCGTCTCCCGACCCAAGCTGCGATTCAATACCGGAGGAGCCTGATGACACCGCAGTCGACACCGCGTCTTCCGAAGCCGACTCGCCCCGTCAGCAGCCCGCTGACAGCAAGAATGGCAAGAGGGCGAACTACGTGAGCAAGCGAGACGAAGCGGCTGCGGACTTGAGGATACAGGAGCTGCTAGCCTTCGCCGCAACTTTCATCTTCCCAGCACTGGCTGCTTACCTTCTTCACGTTCTTCGAGGCCAACTGTCAAGACCCTCCAACAGTCTGGTCTCCGACTACAACCTTTCCATCTTCCTTCTTGCGGCCGAGATACGGCCGGCTAGGCAGCTTGTCCGACTCATCGCAAACCGCACCTTACACCTCCAACGTACGGTGACCGGCCTGGACGATCCGTTCGCAGCAGCCTTCGAGGACAAGAGTACCATTCGCAGTCTTGAGACGCGGATAGCTGACCTAGAAGCTAAGCTTACACGCCATGCGGTCCTTCCGCCAAACCTCGCAGTCGCGCAAAAGGCCGATGTTACTGAACTTTCGGCCGAAATGCGGAAGCGCTACGAGCCTCGCCTCGACAGTCTGGAACGCGCAATGCGACGGTACGAGAAGCGCATGACGACGATGGCCATGCTCATCGAGCAACGTCTGAACTCGCTCGAGACTCGTTTGCAGGATGCTTTGAGTCTGGCGGCAGTTGCTGCACAGCACTCTCAACACCGTGGGACTATCTTTGCCTACATATTACAGACGCTAAGTCTGCTGATTGCATGGCCGCTGAGGATCGCTTGGATCTTGTGTGTCTGGCCATTTCATGTGCTTGAGGAGGGCTACGGCTGGCTTAGGACCATGATGCTGGGACCAATGCCTGAAGGCTCGAAGCAGGCGATGCGGAGGCAAGGATCTCGGGAAGGCACTGCTGACGAAAAGCCTAGAGTGAAGGGCTCCACCGGCCGAAAGGTCTCACGGTAGGAACGCCGCACTTCCGTGCAAACAATTTCGGTTTACGGTTTCGGCTTCGACTTACTGCATGCAGCAAAGGCGCGGGACGGGGAAACGGGAGCATGAACATGATATCCACGGTCAAAAGCAGGCATGCAGTGTGTCGTTATGTATCATTAAAAAGCATTTAGTGTACAATATGCATGTCATGAAAGCTGAAAATCGGTGTAGGTGCCGAGCTGTCAGCAGTAACTTCGAGCATTCCATGCTTAGCGATTTGCACCATTCTGTTTCCCGCAGAAAGGCAGCTCAAGACGCTGTCCACCATGTGCAACCTCATGGGCTCGGCTTCGTCGTCGAAATCTAGACTCCAACCTCTCACATGAAGAGCTCATCACCATCGCCCACCTCCGCCTTGACCTTCTTGCTCGGGCTGCTGCGCAGATCCTCGTCGTCATCCCCGTCAGCGTCGACATCGGACCCCGCCTGAGCAGCGTGCTTGCCCTTCCGGCCCTTGCCGGTCAACTTCTTGCCTGTCGGCGTGTCGCCTTCGGCCTCCGAACCCGCTTTACGCTTGCGTGCGATTGACTTGGCAGGACTCGCGCGGTTACCGTTCGGAGTCGTTGGCTCGCCGAACTGGGCTTTGGTATCTTTGCGTAGCTTTTGAAAGTGTTGGCTGTAGGGCACGTTAACTAGCCGTACATTGGTCATAGGTTGAGGAGGGTGAGAGTAAGGATGATTGCATGGTTGTCACGCACCGAACACTTTCTGCCGTGTAACCCTCTCCCATCAGTCCGGCAACCTCATCCCATTTGGGAAGCTGAGGGGCAGTGAGATGGATGATTGTGAGGAGCAGTTGTCTGTCTGTGGCATCGGTCCACGGTCCTTTGCCCGGCATGGTAGCGGCTGAAGCTGAGTATGAAGGACTGCACAGCGGCAGGCGGTCAGTGTATTCTGGGCAGCACAGTCAGAGAATAGCGGACCTATGATCTACTTACAGTGTCTGGTGAAAAGTATCTGTGTTCCTTCCCGTAATTGTCCAAAGGAGAGGTGGATGTAGTTGTGGTCAAGGATGAGTTGAAGGTGTTGAGCAAGGCAGTGCAGGTGAAGTGAGGTTGAAGGTGCAGTAGGGGAGTCGTCACATGCTCACCTTGTATAGAAAGCTGCTCACCTTTAGGGCACCTAAGCTGCAACTTGAGTGATCTTGGGAAAGTGAAAGGTCAGGTTACACAAACCCTTCTCCGTGGCTAGCGTAATCGGTGGCTTCGCCATATTCTCATCCTTGCGGTGGCGTATGGATCTAATGCTGGCTCTTCGCCTTCTCCCGATCCTGACGGTGCCATACACAGGCAGTGCTGACTGTTCGTCTTGTGCTCGCCTTTAGCGAACGTGCCTTACTCTGCGCGCTTCTCAAATAAGTAATGACAAACACCCCAGGTATCTCCGCCGTCCCATGCAAAAAGCTCGGCACAAGCCATGTAGAAGACCTGCCATCGATAAAACCAGCGTGACGCTTCCGCCTTACCATACGTCTCTTCCAAATGCGGCCACAGCTGCGTACGATTCGCATTCATCGTGCGCAGCCAGTCATTGCAAGTCTTAGCATAGTGCTGCCCGCTCACCCACCATTGCTGCTTTACTTGCAGGTCGCGCTGGAAGTAGAGGAGCAGATCTGCTGATGGCATGGTACCGCCGGTGAAGAAATGCGTCGTCATCCAGCCTGTCTCAAAGTCGTACGGTGAGTCCTTATGGGCGAACAAGTGCACGAAGAGCTTTCCATGCGGCTTCAGAAGGGTGGCAACTTTGGCGAGGAGGAGCTCGTAGTTCTTCATGTGCTCGAACAGCTCGATGCTAAGTACGCGATCAAAAGCGCCTTCATGTTCTGTTCCTGCGAACGAGTGGGTTGCGATGTCGGCCGTGACCACCTGTAAGTTCCTGAGCCCTTTACTCTTCGCCTGAGCGTCAATGTGGAGCTTCTGCGTTTTCGAGTTTGACAGCGCTGTGATGTTGGAGTTGGGGAATACCTCTGCCAGGTATAAGCTGAGCGAGCCCCATCCGCACCTATCGTCGTGTTAGACCGTCACCACAAGATTGTGCTAGAGAAGCATGAAGCATACCTACCCCAGGTCAAACATACTCATTCCATCTTTAAGTTGAGCCTTCTCAACGTAACTCTCCAGCATGGCAATCTCTGCTTGAGCCAGAGTCTCTGTCCCTTTCGGGTAAAGACAGGAGCTGTACTTCATTCGCGGTCCAAGCATGGCTTGAAGAATACCAGTGCCGACTTCGTAGTGTTGCTCGTTTGCCGCAGCCGTTTCGATGGCGATCGGACGTGATCGAAGAAGCTCAACATACTTCATCTTAGTGGCGTAGTTCTCAGCTAGGGATCGAGACTTGTTGATGTTGATACGTTCTTGTAGCTGACGGCGGATCCCTATTCGCAGTACATATTCGGGGAGGTAGCCCCCGTCAACGACGGTCTCAACAAGACTGTCTGCAGTCAAGAGCTGTTAGTCGGCTTAGAGTACAAACACTGCTTGCATGCTCACCGTAATTCATGATCACTAACACTTCGCAATGTTCGACTTCTGTGACGGGGAACCTAGACTCTAATCTCATACGGCCCTTGGGATTTTGTACAAGTGCTTAGCATACGGCAAACAGTGCCAAACCAAGATTACACGGAAGGTACATTCTGTTAGCTTCACGTTGCGCTCGGCGCACACGTTACGTCATGACTAGGACTATATGTCGCATGCGACGACGTCGAGATACTCACCTCTTGCGGTCTGATCAGTTGTCACCAGAAGCCTCTTGCATGAGCGAAGGATACTAGATCGACAGTAAAGCGGACAGATGCACAACAAGAATGGAACAGCAGAGCTCGACGGAGCTCCAGCAGCCTGCCGATCGTCTGACGATAGCATGGCTCGGGCGGGTATGGAGTCATTACACCTGGGTAATATACTTGATATACAGCTCGGTCTACATACGCATCTCTTCCGAGATGACTTTGTACTCTTTCCGCTTCTTCACGCTTCCTCTAATTCTCTGATCGAAGCGCTTGACTGCCTTGGCCAGTCTCGGCAAGACCTGCCTCTCCGCCGAGAAGCTTACCGCGAAGCTGCCAAATGCCAACGCCAGGATGAAGATCTTGAACTCGTTGCTGATCCAAGTCAGCCCCATCAGGTTGTACAGCCATGGCGCTGGGTCTAGCAGCAAGTAAGTCGTGATTGCCAGCGTGACCAGCATTGTTACAACGAATGGGAGATTATGCGCCATGCTTTGCCGGAATGGTCGGCCAACCGACAGTACAACAGCTGCGAGTATGTATTGGTAGCAAGAGAGTAGGAAGAGAGTAGTGTTCTCTGAATTCTCCGAGTTGGAATGCTCTTTGTCGAGCACAGGTGGTTGGTACCATGGCTGTCTCCGCACGACAAGCCACCCGATAAGCTGCGTGATCACGCAGAGGACGATTTGGCCAAGCAGAGACGTCAGGACCTTGCGAGAAACTAGACTGGCGGTCGGCCGCTTCCTGGACAGCTCTGGATACGGTCCAGTCCAGCCCATGAAGATCGCAATCGGTAAGATAAGCAGCAGGTCGATGTAGAGGAACTGAAAGTCGCCCAGGTTGCTCGCTGAGGCGTAGAGGAAGCTCACAGATGTGAATTGAATGGCCGAGTACAAGCTCATGTACTTGAAGCAGCTGAAACTCGTCACCAGCGCTGCCCGACCTTCTCGAATGACTTCCGGCACACAGCTGATGTCAAAGACACGGCTCGTGAAGGGCGCAGCAACCGATGCTTCGGCCTCCGAAAGTGAGATACCGACATCTGCAGCTTTTAGCGCGCCGCAATCGTTGGCGCCGTCGCCACAGAAGCCTGCACAGTAGTCGATACTCTGCAACTTCTCGACTAGCTCGTGCTTCTCATCCGGCGACATACGTGCGAAGACCTGGCCAACGACAAGCATTTCGCGTAGCACTTTCGGCGACGCGAAGTCCACCAGCCATCGGAAAACGTCGCCAGTCACAGCTACAGAATAGTTGCGGAGGTTGGAGACGTCGTAAGGGAGCGAGGAGTCGTGTTCAGCAGGCGGCGGTAGGGGCTTCAACGTGTTCTCATCCAGGGTGTACACCGGATTGTCAACGCTTTCCCAAGCGAGCTTCGAGAGTGGTGTGTGTGCATCACCTTCGGCGAAGTGTGGCACGAAGCAGTGTGCTGAGCGATCAATGAGTCCGCACTCTCTCGCGACGCTAATGGCCGTCAAGATGTTGTCGCCCGTACACATCACTGTGCGTATATTCGCATCCGTGAGCTCTTCAATGATCTCAGTCGTTCGCTCTTTCAGCTTGTTTTCGAAGATGATGAAGCCCACAAACTCCAGGTTGGACTCGGCCTCCTCCCGCTTCATCTTCTGCACCTTCAACCAATTAAGCTTGAAGATATGCTTTGTAGCGCAGGCAATGACTCGGAAGCCTCGGTGAGTGTAGTACGCCAGCAGCTCATCGTAATCTGGGGGAAAGCTGTCCGGTTTGCAAATGTCTTTCATCGCCTCCGGAGCACCCTTGACATAGACATCACCGCTCTTCTCACTGAATTGGCGTACGATGACGCTTGCGCGCCGTAGCTGCGAGACGAATTCGAAGGTCTTCAATACGCCCAGCTCAATCGGTCTGCGACTGTTTGGTGAGTTTTCTTCCTCATCCAGGTCAAATTCCATGCCAGGCGGCGGCCGAGCCACAGAAGGCGTGAGTGAGTTATCCTCCTCCTCCTCTCCGGTGGTAGGGCGCTCAGAACCTTCTTCGAATTGCCAGCCGGTGAACTCAAACATTTTCAGATCCAGCGGGTCGCCGATGAAAGCATCCTCGACAATGCGCAATGAGTGGCACGTTGCCATGGTATATAGAATGGCCTTATTGGCGTTGTAGTCGATCGTAGGATCTCGCTCATACTGCCCTCCTGGCAAGAGGGACGAAGAGTCGGATCGTATGTCGCTGAAGCGGTTCGTAGGCCGTGAGACAACTCTAACACCGAGCACATCCAGCCCGTCTTCAGTGAGCGTTCCAGTCTTGTCAAAACACATGACGTCCAGCCTCCCGCCCACGTTCACCCTCTGCGGGCTGATGCAGAAGATCAGCTTCGCCTTCAGGCGCTGCAGCGCGAAGTTCGTGCCAATGGTTAGCGTAGCCGGCAGAGCAGGCGGCACCACAATTGTGATCAAGTCAAGCGCGCGGACGACGATGAGACCAGGGTGCAGACCCAGTCGGACGAAGTTAATGAGCGATGCAATGAAGCCAACCGCAGCAATGCAAGCCATGACCGAGATGTACCGGAATGAGTCGCGATAGAACTTGAATCCAGAAGGCTTCGGAAAGAGCATTGAGCGCACCAACGCACCTTTGGTCGTGTTGAAGCCGGTGCGGACAACGAGAGCCAATGCAGCAGCCTCGTCGCTCTTGTCATCCTGCGGTCGTCGTGCTCGGATGATCTTGGTGCCGCTGAACAGCAGATGCTTTGCAACGTCGGGATGCATCGAAGAAGCGCTTAGATTCAGCATCTCCAGGGTCTCATCTGAAGCAGGCGTCTTCGACACAGGCACCGACTCCCCAGTAAGCATGCTTTCATTGACGATGCAGTCGCCGGAAAGCAACAGGCTGTCGCACGGAAACTGGCCGAGATTCGGGTCTGTAACCTCGTAGACGTCGCCGGGTACCAGCTCGCCCGACTCAACGTATCGCCAGAAGCCACCACGCAGCACACGGACGTCGCAGTCGAAGCGTGAGATCTCCCGCAAGCGCTTCATGGTTGCCCTCGTCTCAAGCAGCGTGGTTGTGATGCTGACCACCGAGATTATCAAGATGCAGGCGGCATAGAAGTAGTATGAGTCCAACGACCATAGAATCAAACTGGCAATTTGGAAAACGTAGAAGGGATGGAATGCTTCATCGAGCAATAGCTGGCCGGTCGACTTCTGCTCGATGTCAATGAGGTTTTTACCAAAGATGCGTTCGCGGTTCTCTTGCTCGTCGCTGTCTATGCCTTGCCTCACCGTGTTGATGTCGGTCCACGTCGGGTCCTTCCAGGTATTGCCGAGGACGAACTTGTCCTTCACCGGATGGTAGCAGAAGCGGATGTAGCGGTAGTCGAGTATGCGGAGCTCGTCCATAATGGGATCGTCGTACTCGTCGTAGTCTCTAAATTTGCTCTTCTCGTTCTCGCCGAAAACCGCAGATAGAGAGTGTCCAAACTCCTGCTTGCTTAGCCGTTGGATTACCATCTCGTTCCACTGGTTCTCGATAACTAGCCAGTCGCACTTCTCTAGTGGCGTAGCTTTGCCCACAATACGAACGTACCACCGCGGCAGCCAGCGTAGTACAAGGTAGCCAATACCGCCGGTAAGCACGCAGATGCTTAGGTACATGGCGAAGCCGAAAAGCGACGTCGTAAAGCCAGCAACCACAATGGTCATGTCCTCCGTAAGGATGTAGATCTTCTGGCTCATGCGTCCACCACTTCGGTAATCGCTTCTGTCAGACCCGGTGGATACGTGCCTTTTCAGCAACGGGCTCTCAGCCGACGTTCGGCTTGTTCGGCTCGATTTGGACGTTCGGGAGCTTCGTGACGTTCTTGAGGATCTCGATACGCCAGACGACTTCCTCGTCTTGCTAAGACTCGGTCGATGGCCATTCTGCTCGTCTTCCTCAACCTCCGTCTCGGCCTCCGGCTCAATGAATGTGTCGGCAGCATCAAGCTCACCCTGCCGCTCCAGCTCATCTTGTTCATCCAACACTGCCTCCTCCAACCACTCCTCGGAGTCTACGTCCTGATCCTCATCGTAGTACGTAAAGCTCGTTGTCGAATCGGCCCGAGAGCGGCGATGGGAGAAGGCTGATGTCGCAGTTGGCACGCTCTCAGACATTGGTCCTGAGAAGACTTCGTCCTGCGCCATTTCGACGTCTGTGAGGAAGCTCGCCTCGCTCATGTTGGACTCCCTTCGATACATGGCGCCGCGCTGCCGCTGTCGTTCGTAGCCCACCTCGTCGAGGGAAGATCGCGCTGAGCGCGAGCTCCCAACTTGAGTGGTAGATCCGGATGACATATTCGACGTTGAGACTGCGCGTCCCTGCGACCTCGCCTCAGTCCATAGTGACGGCTGTATGGTGCACGCGATCGCATTTCAGAGATTCATTTCGAAGATTGGTTGCACTTTCTGGGCCGTGCATGGCGCTAGCGGATGTGGCTGCTGCGAGGCTGCTCCTTCCCTATCAGGACGGTTGCCCAACACGAGTACGACAACAATCGAGACACTGAACATCCTATAGCAGCCGGACGAGTGGGGTGCTTGAGATAACGATGCAATGGCTCTGTATTACTCGCGCCAGGGTATCACGTGCTAGAAGCAAGCCGCCGTATCTACAATATGCAATGCCAGATCTAGCTATTCATCCTGTGCCTATAGCACATACCCACCCGGCGTCACCTCACTCCAGTGTCTCATGGGTCTCGAGTCTTCGAGCTCCACCACCCACCACAGCGCCTGCTTGGCCTTGTCAATCTGCTTGCTGAGTTCGTACGCACGAGCAAGCGTATACCAAGCCTCAGAGCTATCCCACCCGGTGCCAAGCCTGGTGAGATTAGACAGCAGCATGTACGCACGATCCCGGGCCGCGAGTCGGTTGAGCATCGCAGGCGTCGGATCCCTAGTCCGCGCACTCGGCGGAGTAGTGCGACCCGCGTCCGCAAGCGATGACTTTGCGGTAGTTGGGCGTGATGGGGAGCTTGATAGCGCGACGAGATCGTGGATGTGTGTCCCGGACCCGGTTGTGATGGGCTCAAGCAGCGGCTTCGGCTCCTCGGCGGGAATCTTCTCCTCGTAGATGTCCATTGAAAGATTCGAAATGCCAATGATGCCCGCAGGATGATCGGGGTAGAAGCTGAGTGTCTGCTCGTAGTTCGACATTGCCTCATATGGGAGCTCGCGGGCTGATGCAAGTGCGCCCTTCTGTACACCAGTCAGCATGTGCTCTTGCACAAAAGAGACACGGGAAAGACCAGCACTTACCGCGCACCAGACATCCGCCCACAATGCATCAACGCTCTTACCGCCGCCCCAGCCCTTCACGAAGAGCTCTCGTGCGTTGGCATGCTGAGATCCCTTCTCCGCCTCCAACGCCTCAACAAACTTGCGCGCCTCTTGTATCGCTGCCTCAGCATCTTCAAAGAAGCCGGCTCGAATGTATAGCCCGGAGACGAACAGCCAGACATTGACTAAAATGCTGACCTTGTGCTGCCGTTCATGCGACGAACTAACTGAGGAGCTGACAGTCGGAGATTGACCGCTACTCGAAGCCGGATATGGTGCAGGCAAGCGAACATCCTGCTCCAGGGGTTGATCGTTGTGGCCGGGTGGCGCGGGCCATTGGTCGTGGGGCGCGTTGTGCGCAGCCTCTTTAAGTGGCTGCTGCGGACCAGTAGGTGCGTCAGGAGAGACCGAGTTGTTGACCGCATTGTTGATCACAGGTGGGTTTGCTGCGCTATGTGCGTAGTCCGTTATATTGGTACCACTCGGAGGCACTGGGAGAGCCTTGTCCACGCCGTCAAGGCCAAGCCCAGATTTCTCATCGGACGTTTCGATGCTTCTCTTAGCGCGAAGACTTGCGGCTTGGGGGGTGTCTCCGTTGTGCCCACGGCTTTTAAAAGGGAGGTGTAAGTGGTGATCGTGATGCTGGTGATGGTGACGCTTCTCCTCCGATGCGCCATTTTCGTTAGTAACAGTAATGGCAATCGGTGACCCTTGGCCGTGGCCATCGATGCCGCTGCTTGCGGCAGCGGGATGCGACGGAGTCTCCTTTTCTGCACTCGTGCGAGCTGACTTGGGACGAATACTTCCGGCCATACTGCGCAGCGTGCCCCCGCCGTTCGACCTTGACGGAGGTACCACTGCGGAAGCGGTGACGGACAGCGACTTAGTTGGTGCCGTGAGTTGCGCGGAGCTGCCAAAAAGCCGTACATATAGCCTGAGGAGCTCCTCGCTGGACTCGACCGCTTTTTCAGGCCCCTCCATAAGCTCTACAAGAGTCAACTGACTGATCTTTACTTGGAGAAGGGCGTCCTTCTGGAAGCTGTCCATAGCATCGACAAGCCCGCGTTGTTGTAAGGATCGAGTATGATCGGATCCATACAACATGTGCGTATTGCCCAACTGGTCGAATGCAGCTTCGCACATCTGAGCGGCAGCTTCATAGTCTTCGCCAGCAGTCAAACACAAGGCAAGCAGATGCCACAATGGCACCAGCTCCGCACGCTGACTGACTGCTGCAACCTTGCCATCGCCATTATCGTCTCCACTTACTTGACCCATGGCAATAGCGCGCTTGACCACTGCAACGGCACCCTCAACGTTCTGCATTTCAGCTTGCAACTTGGCCAAGGCAAACGCCGTCTCGGCATCAGGTTGATCGTATGTTAGGGACTTTGTAAGGTTGGCAAGTGCATCCGTCTGAAGTCCCGACCGCGCGTCGGTCTCGTATGTGAAACGAGCCCAATGTGCTTGACTTACACCAATCGCACTGTATGCGATGGCGAGTGTCTTCGGTTGCAATTGTGATTCGGTCGGATGTGGAGGCGGTGCCGCAGCTGCAGCCTTGTTGTCATCGCTGGCTTGTATTTCATCGACGGAGCCTGGTCGCTGTTGTTGCAGCCATTTCTGGACATCCTTGCCAACGTCCCGAGCCCTTTCGGCCTCTTCACGGTCGCCATACTTGCAGCATATCTTGATCGCTTCTGCAGCTGTAACGATGGCTAGGTCATCCGAATCGAAGCCAAGCTCATGCTTGCCAGTCTTCTCGGCCCTCGCCTTGCCTTTGCTGATGATTTCGGTATAGCTTTTGAATGCATGCAGTGCCAGCTCGAACTCTCCAATAGCGGCATGTACGGTAAACAGCTGACGTAGTATGGCTGTCGAATGGAATGTTTTCGTGGCTGCTCGGTACAGAATGTCGAGCAGGCCTTTGCCAAGTGCAGGTTTACCACCTTCGCCCAATTCCTCATCACTCCATTCCGGACCGCAGAGTACTCGCCAGTTACCGACAGCTTCTTCCACCCACCTTTCGACCTCGGCATTCGATTGACTGGCCTTCGGAAACTGAGTCTCATTGAGTAGTAGCGACTCATAGGTGGCTTCCACCCGTTTCAGCTCGGCTCGTTGGCGGCTTTTCGCGTCAACATACTGCTGCTGGTATACGCCTTCGGTAGGTACGACAAGCAGCTCCGCATTCTGGTCAGTGCGCGGATTATATATCAGCTCATGTCGTAAGATCACGGACAGGGTGTCATAGTACGCCTTCCAGACCTCTCGTCGTGGGATATCGACCCGTGTGGGACTGATACCACTTCCAGAAGCTGGAGGTGGAGATCGTTGCCAAAAGCTCGACCAGGCGCGGAAGGATATAAGTGCGTCGTTCAGCTCGTACAGTGTTGGCGTTAGCGCTCGGTTGAAGTTATACATGCACGCTCGGGCGAGAAGGCGCTCAGTCCATCGCCTGAGCTCGGGTGAACGGGAGCCAGGAGCATGCGTCGCTGCAGCACGGTACACATCCTGTATATCTTGTCCTGATCCATTTGCCTCAAGAGCGGCTGCTCGTATGAACGAAGCTTTGGCAGCACACACCTCTAGCCAACCCAATGGCGCGGCATGATTGCCCGTAGGTCGGGAATGTACGTTTTCCTTTGGCAGCGCTGCCACAGCTGCAGCCGCATCGTCTTGCAACCAGTATATTTCGGCAATGCAGGTGCTTGCGCAGTATACGTCCTCCGGATCTACGTTCCTCGAATGGACGGCTTCTTTGAGCTTCGGTAACGCCTCGCTCAAGCTGTGAATACTTGCCGTCTCGGATGATGAAGCAGATGTCGGTCGGTGTGAGGCAGACGCTATCTGGGCCTCAGTTCGTGCCGTAAGAGTGAAACATCCCCTTTCCGGCGCATGCTTGTCCGTCTTCCTCGCCAACTCCGGCACCTCCGTCCAATTACCATTACACAATGCCTGATCGAGTGATGCATAATATTTCCTGCCCTTCTCCGGATTGGGCGCCTTTGACGTGAGGCTCATTGCGCCAACTGTCTCCGCTGCGGCAGCTGTTTCCGCGTCGCTATCGTACAGATTCCATGATCATATACTTGTCTCCGCAATTGCGCCGCCTGACAATCGCGTGATGACCTTTAGGCTTCGCCAGCTCTCCGTGGAAGGTGCTGTTCGCCGAGCGCAACCAGAACGGCATCGGAACCGTCGTCTTCTTCAACGCGCCCAGAGTCGCTAGCGCGCATGCGCCCCATGCGTTCATACGCGAGCACGGGCCGCTATAGGGCGGAAAAAGTTCGAATGACCTGAATGAATATCCAAATGCATGTGGACATTGGTCAAGCATAACGTGCACATACTCTGAACACCGATGGAGAGGGCAGTACGACCGGGAAGCCTACCAATAACATGACGGACACAGTGTCTGTCCTTCGCGCGATTACCTACCGCCTGTCATCCGCACCAGCCAAGCAACTTCCGAGAGTCGCATCGCAAGTAGCTGGCCAGTTGTGGAATTGCAAGGATATACTCTCCGCTCCTCCCGTTTCTGCCAAGCAGGGCGATGATGTGTCCTTGGTGGTACATCGCTTCAAGACGTACCTATCCAACTTGCTCCAAGCCCGCACGGTCGAGGGGAGGTGGTCCGGCGTTGTCCTCACTAAGGCAACAGTCGAAGCTGGAGGCCTCGAAATTCTTAGCAAGTCTAATGGATGGATTCGCAGCTTGCTAGGCATCTTAAAGAGATCGGACCCAGCTACTACGAGAGCTCTTGCCGTCATCACTTTGACTCGGATTTTCCAGCTAACTTGGGATCATTCGAATCTGGTCCGCGAGATCACAACCCCAGCACTACCCACTTTCATCGCCATCTGCCTAAGCAACGTGGAGAACAGCCGTTGTTCTGCTAGGGAACTGCAGACTGTATTGGAGGCGTTCGTTACCCTTATCCATCGACATCCCACAATCTTCAGGACCAACGAAGCCCAGGTTCGGTCATTACTTTGCCGCATTCTTTCGAACAGCTCCTCAACCGACGCAGTTCATTTCTACTTAGCAGAGCACAGAGACAGGGCTCAACGTCTCTTGGTGCTACTATGTCACTGCTGCCCCAAGCAAGCTGCGGCGGAGAAGTGGGACGAGACTCTCAAAGCCACGGTGACCGCTGCTCATGCGACTTGCGATAGGGTTTTCAGATCGGTACTCGAAGACTGGAAGTCTTCTGCCGGAATGCAGCCTTCACTCAACCCGAACGTGCTGTTCCAGGGAGAGGTGGAGATGGAAAGTACCGACGCCGTTGGATTGAGCGGATGGAAAGGCGGCTATGCGGGCAGCGAGCGGCTTGTTACTTTGCTGAGACTACTCGCAAGCCAGCTTGACACAGCGACTGCTGGCAGTGTCAATGTGCATGTAGGCATGCTAGTAGATTTACTCAGCCGCTTGTTGAGCGCTCGGGTCCCTACCGCCAAACATGGTGGCGTCAGACCAAATCCGCAGGTCTCGAAGGAAGAGCGAGAAGCTCTGTTTGCCACCCTACCTCACATACATGCTACTGCGATTGATATGATCAGGGATCTCTTTCATCGCTTCGGATCGTCACAGGTTGGTACGTACATGCCACTGATGTCGCTCGTTGCATGGGTATTCACTACAGAATCTTTCGATACACAAGTTCGCATAGCAACCTATAGCGCACTGGAACTCGTGCTTGAGTCGCAAGGCTTGATACTCGCTAAAGACGAGGTGGCCGATATCGAAGCCATACTCCGAGCATGCTGTCAAGATCTGCTACCGATAGAAAAGTCCTCTACCATCATTAACAGCCTTACAAGTCAACAACACACTGCTAATGGCGACTTGAACTCGACAACACACAAGGATAGAGCGAGCATCCATCCATCCTTTACCAAGCTACAAGAGCCAGCAGCAGGGCTCCTGGCCCTCTCCTTCTCCAAGTTGAATGCGTCATACATGCCTGGTCGACTCCGCACGCTGATGGAACGCTCGGCCGTGTTGACGCAAAATAAAAAGGGGCTGATCGCTTGTGTACTCAATCCCGCAATCAGCGGCAATCAAGCGAACGTGCACCCGAGTCTATTGCCATTGCTTGCTCGTCAGCATCCGGATGCTCCCGAGGTGGAGGCACTACTTCGTCCTCGCATGCCAGTCATCAGAGCAGAGGCGACTCCTGAACAAGACCATGATGTTGGAGAGTACATAGACGACGAGGAGTCTGGGCCTGATGGCTTCCAGAAAGGCACTTACATCAATGGCGACAGTGCGCAACCAAGCAGCGACGCCCAACTGGACAAGCAAACAGCTGCAATGACGCACGATGGCGAAGACCTGTATTCTGCCTCGCCCATTCAGAAGACTACAAACAGTGCCCAGCACAGTTTGCAGACTACAACTATCGCAGCGCTCACGCCCGACAAGCGCGGCGGAGACGACGAGCTTACTGATCGCTCATCCAAGCGCCTTCGCGCTTCGCCGGTTGCAGAGAGCCTGATGCCAAACACATCCCATGGTCTGCCAGGTTCTGATCCCGCCTCTGCAGAGAATGAACTCCCTGTTACAGTGATAACCGAACAACCCCAGCAAGACAGTTTTGTGATGGCACCGGAAGCTGCATCATCGAGGGCGGAGCGACCAGCAGTACTGACGAGTGCAGAGCAAGAAATCGAGGCAGGAAATATGGTAGACATAGACAGCGATGGGAGTGACTTCGAGATGCCTCCTCTGACTCTAGAGCCAGACACGGATCTAGAAGAAGAGGAAGAAGGCGAGGAAGGTTGATATCACTCAGTAGATTCCCGTGGGCAAGTTGACAGTTTGGCTGTGATAGTTCTGTGACGTCAATACTGTGTTTCTTGTCGCACTGCACAGCACATCGCCTCTGATTTAGGTTTGATAGCCTAACACGCAGAGTGTCCGTCTGCGCCTAACGCCCTTTGCCAGACTGATATGTACATCGTCGTAGCACTGATACTCCCCGCGCAGTTGGTCTTCGTCACCAGCGCCTCCCATCCTGCCTGTCCGCTCAATGCTCCCAAGGGTGTCTCCAGCCGAGTAATACCGGACCGTCGTAGCGCGCTCGGTACATAAGCTGCGCATTGGTCAGCGAGGCCCATCGAGCTGTCTCGAATCATGCCAATAGCGTACGAAGAACCACATTGCTGCTCCTAAGCCGGTTGCGGCGAACCTGTAGAGAGGTCTTGCAGGATGTACGTGGACTGGATGGCCGCCGTGGCCGGCTGGTGATGGACCCGCCATACTCTGAGCGGACGTTAGCGTCAGGAGTCTTGCAGTATTGGAGCTCGCGTACAGCTGTGTGGTATCGTAGCAGTAATAGACACCTTTGCAATGGCTTTGTTTGTTCCAGAGTGAAGTGATGGTGAAGTGAGGGAGCGACCATCTCCATTCAGCTAAGCGCAATCGGCTCGCGGTTGCCGACGTGGAGCGGAGATGGCTCCGACGCTTGCATGCCGATCACATCGCGTTGTCGTCCATCTTCACATCGGATGTCACGAACAGTCACGGAGTGCGCTTCCATCGACTTTGAGGTCTCGGAGCGCTGCGCGACACCGGCCCATCAGATGCGTGGTGCTCAAGAGCTCAGCAGCACGGCCTGCGCACATATATCGCCTAACCTAAGCACGTAAGGATCAAGTGATTGTGCTGGACATTGCAGGCCTCTCGAGACGCTCCATTCATCGGAAGCGTAAGGATGGCGCAAATCGGCTCGCCAGCTTCGACTCTGATAGATCCCACTCAACGACGCTTCCGCGGCAGCACCAAGATCGCAGAGTATGAGGTGATGCCGGAGAAGCTCGGAGAGGGCACGTTCGGTGTTGTCTCCAAAGCAGTATCGAAGCGAACTGGCAACCTCGTCGCTCTCAAGAAAATCCTGATGCACAATGAGAAGGATGGCTTCCCCATTACAGCCTTGCGGGAAGTCAAGCTTCTCAAAATGCTAAGTCACCCGAACATCTTGCGCTTGGAGGAGATGGCTGTTGAGAGGCAGCAAGGTGGGTCGAGAGCTATTTGTGTGATTCGTTCAGTACCCTCGTTCCTGACGATGTGCAGCTGACGACAAAGGCAAAAGTGGCAAGAAGCGAGCCACGCTCTACATGGTCACACCGTATATGGACCACGACCTTAGCGGCATGCTTACCAACCCGGACATCCGCTTCTCGGAAGCACAGATCAAGTGCTACATGCAGCAACTCTTGGAAGGTCTGCGCTATTTGCATGATGTGAGCGACCTATGTCAACCTCATTAAGGCCCAGCTGACCTTTACTGTAGTCCCACATCCTTCACCGAGACATGAAGGCTGCCAATATACTGATCTCAAACAAGGGCATCTTGCAAATTGCAGACTTCGGCTTGGCGCGGCATTATAGTGGTACCCGACCTCAGCCGGGCAAGGGCAATGGCGAGGCTGACCGGGAATACACCAGCCTTGTCGTAACGCGCTGGTACCGGCCGCCTGAGCTGCTCCTAACGTTCAAATGGTATACTCCTGCAATTGATCTATGGGGTGTAGGATGCGTGTTCGGCGAGATGTATGAGCGCAAGCCGATCCTAGAAGGCCGGACCGACCTAGATCAATGCCATCGGATCTTCCAGCTCGTTGGCTCGCCCACCGAAGAAAGTATGCCGGGCTGGTCCGAGCTACCCGGTTGCGAAGGACACAAAGACTTCGAGGCGCAGAAGGGCGATATTGACAAGCGCTTTGCCTCGCGCATGAGTCCAGAGGGTCTGAACTTGCTCAAGCAGTTGCTGCTACTCGACTATAGGAAGCGCATTAACGCCATCGATGCGCTGCAGCATGAATTCTTCAAGACCAAGCCGTATCCAGCTAGGCCAGAAGACTTGCCGAAGTATGAGGATAGCCACGAGCTGGATGCGCGCCGCAGAGGGCACGAGAAGCAGCGCGCGCTTCCACCTGCACCGGCTGGTGGCACTGTCGGTATGGGACCAGACGATTGGGACAGCACTGGAGCGATGGGCGGAACATATTCAAACGGGTACGGGTTCGCAGATCGACTGCCAAGAGGAGGCTATGGCCGCGAAAGAGGTCCGCCTGGTGGTCCACCACCGAGAGGATACGATGACCGCCGCGGCGGCAGACCACCACCAGTGCAAGCCCCACCTACCCGTGAACCGGGGTGGAGACAGGAACAGCGTGGTCGAGCTCCTCCGCTGCCATCGAACAGTCACCACCTTCCACCACGACCGGCGGATTTACCGCCTCGTCCTGACGCTCCTGGTCGTGGTCCCACTGCCGCACCACCTGGTGCCGGAGCTCCAGCCGGGGCCGGAGCCGGAGGCGGTAGACGCGGACCAGACGTCGATACGTATATACCCAACTACGATGATCGACGGCCCCCACCACCCCGCCATTACGATGGTAGCCGCCGAAACAGCAAGGAGAACGCATACCGTGACCCAGATGCGCCGCCTCCACCACGTGGCTATCGCGACGCAGACGTGCCGCCGCAACGTTACCGTGACATGGATGCGCCGTATCGTGACCGCGATCGTGGCGGGTATGGTGACCAAAGACGGACGAGGAGTCGAAGCCCTGACCGGGATCGGGCGCAGAGGGAGAGTGATGCGAGGCGCGAGCGCTTGCAAAACCGAGAGAGGGACATGTATCGGCGATGACAGCTGCTGCTCTCCCAAAGACCAAGACCAATTGGAAGGAGCACCGATGATACTGCTTACAGCCGAAGGATCCTACATGCAGTCAATATGAGAATTGCGCTCAATATCATCGCGGGATAGCTCTGGAGTAACGTCTCAGCACCGCGACAGAAGAACGTGAGACCCGAGACATCGATCATGACTGTCACAGACCCGGCTGCTCGCGTTAGTGACGCCCCGGGACACAACAACCACAGATGTACCCAAGCCACGTAGGCGGATGTGGTCTAGATAAGGCGTGCCAATCCTTCTGCGCTATATCCTGATCTACACGGCGGCCCGCTGCAGCAAGCAAGGCAACCTGAGAGCAAATCCTGAATCGTTTGTAGTTCAGGCGGTCACGGATGAAAGACTAGGAGCGTCGTGAGACGGAGGCAACGGGGCCAGCGCGTAGAAGGCACGACGTCTCAGCTCTACAAGTGGGTTGACAGATTAGTACAAGTTCATAGTGGCTTTAACCACAAACTCAAAGACTCCTCGCCATCGGTGGCTATTAGTACTAGTTACAAGAAGACAACTATTGTGGTGATATGACACCATTACGCGGCCATGCTTCTGTCACAGAGGCATTACTCCGAAGGTCCACCTTCTCATCCAGCTCTTTTGCCACACTCAGATGGTGGTTAAGGAAAGTCATCACTCGTGTTGAGGCTAGAAGATCATCGGACACTGCAGCCGCGAACCTTTCCCTCTTACTTAAAACTCCGCACTGTAAAATCTGCCTATTGAGAGCCTCTCGCGCCAGCAGTGTCTCATTAGATCGAGACGGTAGCGAGCCAGGGCTGATGTCTTCGCGACGAGCTGTTTGATGGTATTGAACGTTATCGTGGTACAGCCCTATATGGCTCGTAGACTTCTTCCTCCACCCTGCTGAGCGACATCTGTGTCGGTAGTAACTGCGGGGCACTCAGTCGCTGAAGGTTGAAAGCCGTCGCCATATCTGTGACCGGAGACGAGACGGTAGGTGAGGCCATTGCCGATATAATGGAAGTCGTCTGTCGAGATGCGGAGCGCTGTGTGCTTGGCAGAGAGCGCTGTCGCATGGCAGACGGCTTTTGCTGCACCGGTGGCGGAAGCTCTGGTTGCGAACTGACTCGTCGCCGGGCCAGGTACCGAGGGTATAATACTCGAAAGGCAATCGCAAGCAGAGTGACACCAAGAGTGACGCCGAGGACCAGCCCGACTATCAGGCCAACATGCATGTGTTGAGGGTTCGAAGTCGTACAATTGTTCGAGCTGCAGTTTTCCAGTAGAGCTGTGTCGTTCCGTCTGGCAAACATGTCTTTGCGTATTCGAGAGTGAAGGATCGATCAAGAAGGAAACACTGTAGACAATATGAGTACAACTGAACTTACCCTTCGTCGTTTACCAACAGCAGCTGCACAGCCATCACGCCCCAGGATCAGGAGAGTGTGAGATGGTGGCATGGCTTGAGTCAGCAGTCAGAGCACTCGTCGCGTTAGGTAAGGCAAAGGCGCAGAAGGAGTGGGATCAGGCTTGGCCAACAACAGCTGCGTAGCCGCTTGGGTGGTCACTTGAACGCCCAAAGTATAAAGCTCAGAAGGCAGCAGTAAGAACAGGCATATGCCATAATGAGCATGACTATGGCGCCATCTTCTATAATGATTGCTTCGGCATGTTCGTCCCACCACCAGCACGAGAAGGGTAGTTGTAGGGGACACAGCAGCGAATAATAAGATGAGCACGGTGAAATGTTGCGCTCAGCCTCGTGACTTGCCATTAACAACCGTCCGTGCGTATGCGCTAGCCAAACTTTTGGACTGCCAAAGCTTCGTGCTGTTACTTCGTAGCGGAAGCTATCTGGACCACCCACCATACCCGGACCAGGCAGGGGTTACAGGTTATTCGATAATGGATGAGCTGTTCGATGTGTTCGACGAGAAGGCGCCAAAGCCTGGCAGCAGCGCCAAAAAGGAGAAGAGCAAGAAGCGAGCCGCAGACGGCGCTGTGAAGAGAGAAGCGCCACACCAGAATGGTGATGCTCATACGGTGGATGGACGGGAGACACACAACGGTGAAGCGAACGGCGTGCCCAATGGCGATGATGTGAAGGTCCGGGTCGCCAAGCGACAGCGCAGGGACGACGAGCCCGAGCCGGTGGTAACGGACACCTTTGAAACAGAGCAGTCACGCGAGGTTGCAGCATCCGCTGGGTTGCAAGGTCAAAAGGAAGACAAGGCTGTGGTGCTCTCGCATCAAGTACGCCATCAAGTGTCTCTGCCACCAGACTACGAATACGTTCCCATATCGCAGCACAAGCGGCCCGAGAAGCCCGCGCGAGAGTGGCCGTTCACGCTCGACCCTTTCCAGGAGGTCTCCATCGCATCGATAGAGCGCAATGAGAGTGTGCTAGTCTCGGCGCACACCAGCGCAGGCAAGACGGTAGTAGCCGAGTACGCCATTGCACAATGTCTGCAGAACAACCAGCGAGTCATCTATACCAGCCCGATTAAAGCGCTCAGCAATCAGAAGTATCGGGAGTTCTCTGCCGAGTTCGGTGATGTTGGCTTGATGACCGGAGACGTGACAATCAACCCTACAGCAACCTGCTTGGTCATGACCACGGAGATTCTACGCTCAATGCTGTATAAAGGCTCAGAGATCATGCGCGAGGTCGCTTGGGTGGTCTTTGATGAGGTGCATTACATGCGCGACAAGTCACGGGGTGTCGTCTGGGAGGAGACGATCATTCTGCTCCCGGACAAAGTCCGCTATGTCTTTCTCTCTGCTACCATCCCCAATGCCATGCAATTCGCCGAGTGGATCACCAAGACGCACAACCAGCCTTGTCACGTGGTCTACACCGACTTCAGACCGACACCTTTACAACACTACTTCTTCCCAGCTGGCGCAGATGGGATCCACCTAGTAGTCGACGAGAAAGGCGTCTTCCGCGAGGAGAACTTCAACAAGGCCATGTCTGCGATTCAAGAACGGGCCGGCGATGATGGCAGTGATCCGATGGCGAAGCGCAAGGGCAAAGGAAAAGACAAGCGGACCAACAAAGGTGGCCGCAGGGACGGTCCAACGGACATCTACAAGATCGTGAAGATGATCATGATGAAGAACTACAATCCCGTCATTGTGTTCTCCTTCTCGAAGCGCGAGTGCGAGAACTACGCTTTACAGATGAGTCAGCTGGCTTTCAACGATGAATCGGAGAAGGCAATGGTGACCAAGGTTTTCAACTCCGCGATCGAGATGCTGTCGGATGAAGACAAGGAGCTGCCGCAGATTCAGCATATACTGCCTCTGCTACGGCGCGGTATCGGCATCCATCATTCAGGCTTACTACCCATATTAAAGGAGACGATTGAGATCTTGTTCCAAGAAGGTCTCATCAAAGTTCTCTTCGCCACTGAAACTTTTTCCATCGGCCTCAACATGCCAGCCAAGACCGTTGTCTTCACTTCCGTTCGCAAGTTCGACGGCGTATCTCAGCGATGGGTCACGCCAAGCGAGTTCATTCAGATGTCTGGTCGCGCCGGTCGTCGTGGGCTCGATGAACGCGGTATCGTCATCATGATGATCGACGAGAAAATGGAGCCGGCGGTTGCGAAAGACATTGTCCGCGGTGAGCAGGATAAACTCAACAGCGCCTTCTATCTCGGCTACAACATGATACTCAACCTCATGCGTGTCGAGGCTATCAGCCCAGAGTTCATGCTCGAGCGATGTTTCTTCCAGTTCCAGAACGCTGCCTCCGTTTCCGGTCTCGAAAAGGAGCTTCACGAACTCGAACAGAAGCGTGCCGATATGGTGGTAGAGAACGAACAAGAGATCAAAGAGTATTATGACATTCGACAGAATCTAAACAGCTACGCAGCAGAAATGAAGGCCACCATAACACGGGAGGAGTACCTACTAAAGTTCCTGCAGTCTGGTCGTTTAGTGCGGGTGAAGTACAAGGACTACGACTTCGGTTGGGGCGCCGTCGTCAATTTTATGAAAGTTAAACCTGGCCGCGGGCAAACAGCTGAAGACATACCACCAGGACACGCCGTCGTCATTGACGTGTTAATGGCGGTGGCCGCAGACAGCACGCCGCCGCCGGTGGGCGCAAGGCTAAACGATGATCTACCGCCAGGCGTTCGGCCGCCTGCACCTGGCGAGAAAGGCAAGATGGAGGTCTTTTCCATCATGAACGGCACCATTGACGCAGTGGGCCATCTTCGAGTGTTCTTACCTGCCGAGCTCCGGACCCAAGAGAGCCGGAACACAATGCGGAAGACGCTCGAAGAGGTGAAAGCACGGTTCCCAGATGGCATTGCGATCTTGGATCCAATTGAGAACATGCATATCACTGACGAAGGGTTTAAGCGGTTACTCAGGAAGATTGAGGTATTGGAGCACAAGCTGCTCAACAACCCCTTGCACAAATCCGAGCGATTACCGGAACTGTACGAGCAATACGCGGCAAAGGTAGAACTGACAACGCAGATCAAGGCGAAGCGGAAGCAGATCTCGGATGCGCTTAGTGTGCTGCAGCTGGATGAGCTGAAGAACCGCAAGCGCGTCCTTCGCCGGCTGGGCTTCATCAACGATGCAGACGTCGTGCAGCTGAAGGCGCGCGTTGCGTGCGAGATCTCCACGGGCGACGAGCTTGTGCTGTCCGAGCTGCTGTTCAATCGCTTCTTCAACGAGCTTACGCCCGAGCAGTGTGCGGCGGCATTGAGTTGCTTCATCTTCGAGGAGAAGAGTAATGAGACGCCGACGTTGAAGGACGAGTTGGCGAAGGTCTTCCGCGAGATACGTGAGCAGGCTCGGCAGGTAGCGAAAGTCAGTAGCGAGAGTAAGGTGGTGGTTAATGAGGAGGAGTATCTGCAGTCGTTCAAGTGCGAACTGATGGAGGTGGTGTTTGCGTGGTGTCAGGGTGCGAGCTTCGCGACGATATGGTACGTATAATTCGTTTATGGCTCGTGGGCGATTCATTTACTGTGTGGTTTGTGTGCTAACATTTCGACAGCAAGATGACGGACGTCTACGAAGGCTCGCTGATCCGCCTCTTCCGAAGACTGGAGGAGCTGCTGCGGCAGATGGCTCAAGCCGGCAAGGTTATGGGAAGCGAAGAACTAGAGCAGAAGTTCGAGTCGGCTCTGACGAAGGTCAGGAGGGACATCGTGGCAGCCCAGTCATTGTATCTATAATGGATAAAAGAGGCATCCGTAGGCAGGCCGTATGACTGTACTAACAACACACCCGTTTTTGCTGTAATTTAGACACTGGAAAGATCACAGAATATACTGGACTTGCACGCCCAGGGTTAGCTCCGTACGCAGAGCGCTCTGGAACCTGAAAGGCATAGATATCGTGAGGCGACTATGGCCCGAATCACGGCCTTCGGCAAGCCGGCAGTGCAAAGGCGCAGACTAACCGATCTCAGCTCCTCCTCGCTTCAAGTCTCATTTCCATCGCTTTTTCCTGGACCCACGCAGCATCAGCTGATACGGAATTGGCTGTAGCTAAATCGGCATGCGGCGGAGCATGCGTCTCCCTCTTCGGGTAGTGCTTTCAGCCCACTCACCGATCAGCAGGGCCAGACCATGTGAGCATTTCGCTCGGAGATGGTTTGCGGTAATCGCACGTAAGAACACTGGCAACTCTCTCATATAAGGGGATGATTAGGGTAAGCGATCTCTTGTCCTTTCTAGCAACTCTCCCTCTCGCAAGCTTCACTGCTTTTCGCCCCATAGCCCTAAAAGACCTGCATAAAGCTGTTATCTGCAGCCCCCAACAACGTCACAACCAGAGAGGACCAGAAGAACTGCTGCTTGCAAGAACATTTTCGTTTACCAACTCGGCAATGTCTTTTCACAGCGACATTATGGTTGGCCCAATGTACGTCAACATGGATACGGAGAACATCATCAGCTTGCTCGCCTTGATCGCGCTTCTTACTTTCTTCTACTTTGCATTTGGAAGACTCATTCAGCCTGGCGGTGAGAAACAGGAAGGCAACCGCTTGTCGTATGGTAGCTTCGCCGCGGCTTGAGATGCGGACGAACTCGGCGTATTCCGGCCTGCTGCGTGGCTGTGACCGAAAGCGTATGTTACTTAGGCGTACACCATGCCCAGTCTTTCCGCGGTGCGGCAAGATCATCTCCAGACAGTTTTGGCGAAACATGAGTGTCGATGCGGCGTGGCAGAATGTCAGCTTTGGGTTGTAAATGGGGCAGTGCTGTTGCTCGAGCGTTGAGTTTCGGCTCCATTTTCAAACGAGCATCCAACTGCACGCCACGCATTTGTCCAAGACGGCCGCTTGGGGGAATGTGCAATCCAAGAACACACGCGGCATTTCGCAAAAGGGTCCCGCAGACCATTATTTTAAGGGGCGCCCGCGCTCTTCGAGCATGATCTATGCACCACAAAGTCCTTCGCGACACATACTGCGACAGCTCTACTCCACCACTCCTGGAACGATGGACTCTGAGAAGACCCAGCAGACGCCGCCTCCTTACGGTACGACAGGCCAACCGGACGAGGCAGAGCAGCTACTACGTCGAATCGAACACAACATCAACGAATTCGACGCAGGTACTTTCACCGACAGCGCGTTGAAGGAGAGCCGTCGACTCGCCAACCTCCTGACCTTCATGCTGGCTGTTGACTACCAGCGGAACACTAAGGCTGCTCTCACCGCGGAAGACAGAGACCATTACGCCACCATATCAGGCTGCCTCGACAAGCTGCGCACGGCACACGACCACACGCTCCTCACGGCCTCCGAGCGCTCTACGCTAGCGCCATTCTTCTGGAAATACTTGCACGAACCTTGCCAGGTGCTTGCGCTCCCTGTGGAATGCGCTATCCGCGCCATCCAAAGCTTTTTTAAGTATACATCCTACAATGGTCAATACAAAGGCTCAGTGTATGGAGTGTTGCATGATCGAGGCCTCGACGGGTTAGCGTACAAGCTCTACATGGACAGGTCCGTCGTGATTCCACGCACGATATGCGAGCCAACCTCTCAAGAAGACCTACTACGGGGCAATGCAGCCGTTGGAAGCATTTACTTCACAGGGATCTCCGGCATCGAATGCTCTACGTCACGGTCCGATTCCTACAGTGGGTGGAGCGTGCAGTACACCATATCTTACACGCTCAACAAGCGAGGCACTGCGTACAAGGTGTGTCGTTGTGGAGCCACAACCACGGTCGAGAATAGCGTAGGCTTATCGCCTAGCCACTGGGCGCACAGGATCAAGGCATTGACGAACCATCTTCTTATGAGGAAGGAGATATCTGCGCACGACAAGAAGATGAGCGATCTACGGCAGTGGCCGCTGGGCTGGAAGCTCTTGACGGCCACACGGTCCACACACTTACCCGACTTCTTTGAGCAAAGGGCGCGCAAGGATTGCTGTGAGATGTAAGGTATTGGAAGTCGCAGGTACTTCGAAGCTTTATGCGACTGCTGTTCGTTGACATCGCGCTGCGCGATCCGATTAAGGAGGCAAGCGTTGGTGTGTCTCCTGCAGGACTTTCTTCTTCTTCGTCGTGACTTAGTAGGTAGTTGCAGCCAGATCGTAAACAGCAACGCGGTCTTGATCTATGCGCCTCTTCCCAGCTTTTGTTCTCCTTTCTTCCCTTTCCCCAACGGCAAGTCAGTAAGTGTGCTATGGTCATCGTCTAAGCATATCGAACGTAGATGCTAATCGGATGCAGCTGCGCCATTCCTATCGCTGAAATATCACACATCAGCATTCGCTATCTCACGATCCTTGTATGTGGCTTCCAACTGATTTCCAGCTTGAATGCTGTGTGACAAGTTACGGTTTTGGGATGCTAATCTTCGATAGGTCAATAACCATCGCTGAGATACCGCACATTCTTGTAAGTCGCTTCCACGACCCATCCCCGGCTCAGATGCTTTGCGACGGTTTGTCGGCTTGGGATACTTATACTCAGTAGATAGGCCAGTGACCATGCCGGCTATCGCTGTTCTCGTGGCTCTCTCCGCTCGCTCCGCTCCCATCGACAACATGTCTCCCCCGTTAGGACCCCGACCACTTCCGACCAGCGCTGCCGCACCAATTCCCACCGTCGTAGCCGTTCTCTCCGAGGAATCCATCGCCACGCTCGCCCAGGCCCTTTTTGACAAGAAATGGGACATCATCAGCCTCTTCGTCGCCGCCATACTCGCCCTCGTCGTAGGCCTCGCGGTTCACTGCATTTGGGAATCGCGCAGCTAGTTGCAGAGGTGTGTATACATCTTCCCAACACATCATGCTATGCAGACCATCCGTGGCTGAGCTGACATGCTCTTAGATGCCTACGACGAACGGCTGAGGTCAATCCAATTCCGGCAGACGAAGAGGAGGGCCTGGGCGACAACGCACATCCCAATGCGGTGGCGATGGTTCCTGTGGCTGCGAACGGTGGCGTGCAGCGTCCGGATGTGGTGCCTGATGGGGAGGGGGAGCATGATGGGAGCGTGGGACGCGCGAGCGGAGAGAGTCACGACACATTCTTTTCTATCTGATAATTGTGTTCCTAGACACTCGTTAATCGACATTCTCTACACGAAAATGTGCCTAAGGTCTTCGCCTGTACGGGGGGGAGGTTGCGCCTCTTTATAGCGTAGGCGTATCGCTCAGTCGTTAGATAGTGCCAATCATAACATTGCCGAACAATCTCCTCGCCAGAAAGGACACATTTGAACACGATAAGAGCGCAAGTGATCTCGGCGGTACCTGGATGGGGCCCGGATCTCTGCCCGGTTCACATTCGCCGCCTGCCTGTCAGCTTTGGCAATGGCCGCCGCGCTGGAGGCTGCTGCCAGCTGGACCGTCCACGCACCTGCCCGACTTTTTCGAGCATACGACTTACGAGGATTGCTGTGGGATGTAAGGAGAGGAGTAGAGGTCTTTGAATGGACGCCTGAGCGAAGGGGAAACACCAGCCTAGTTCGAATCCCCAGCCTCGACAGACAATTGAAAATGATTCCACAAAATTGCCATTGTTTCCCACGACAATCGAACCGTCATCTGCACTTCAGAGACCTACCTTGCTTTTCTCGAACCTTTCTGTACTTGGATCACGTACATGCGTGTTTCATGACAAGCGGGGTCTGGTGCCATTTCCGCGATCAACAACCTGACACACGCACTCAAGAGCCGATGGCGCTCGTAAGCTTGTGTTCGGTGTTGGGAGCGCCCAACTTAGCATTGTACATTTCGCCTACCTCATCGTCGCTGCAACCCATCCATCCCCGCCAGTACAGATGTATACCCCAACCTCCGTCTCGCGCTTAGATACAACTCATAAGCCTTCAACTTCGCCGCCACTTGCCCGTAGTCAAGCAGTGCAATGCTGTACAGCCAAAGATTCCCAGGCCACCAAAGACTGCCCAGCCCCTCAATCTGCTCCTCGAACACACAGTGTGCGGCATAGCGTGCCAAGATCATGAAGGTCCGCACGGGTCCTTCTCGCGTATGCAGGTTCTCGTCCAGACTCCGCGTCAGGTCGTTCGTCTTCAAGATCAGCAGGATGACTCTTGGGACCTTCGCAAGAAGATGAACAAGCTTTTCAAGCAGTCCACCCGTGCCGAGTGCCTCCGAGAAAGCGCGCTTCTCCTCCGTATTGCGCTCTTTGGCAACGCCTTGCTCGGACCTGATGACACGGTAGTCTCGTCCCGTGATGGCCGAGGCGAAAATAGGGAACTCGTCGTCGTCGAGGCCAGCGATTTCGTAGGCGTATTTGCGCATCTCTTTCATATCTTGCGATAGTACGGCGAGCCAGATGTGTGCGTAGGCGCGGCGAAGATACTCAGGAATGTCTCGATAGAGACCGTGATCGTACAGTATTACTTCAAAGTTTCTCGGTCTGCGTTTGGCTGGGTTTATGCGGATAGCAAGATTGCCTCCATGCGGATCACAGTGTAGAGGCGCGTCCTTGCCGAAGATCATCTCGTTGAAGATGCGCGCAAGTGCGGCAGACACTTCGTCCCGGTCTATGCCGTTCTTGTCAAGGAAGGCAAGATCGTCCAACCTATGGCCTGTAAGGTACTCCATCACAAGGATCCGTCGGTCAGCCCAGACGACATCCGGTATGACAAGAGGGTATTGCGGTAACCGGGCGAAGTAAGCTTTCGCTCGCAATGCGTTCCGCCCCTCTTCCCGGAAGTCGAGCTCTTTGGGCAGAGAGGTGGCCATCTCATCGCCGAGCCATGTGATGTCATAGCTTGGAAACCACCATTTGATCGTTCCGAAGGTGAAGTTTGTAAGAGCAATGTCAAGTTTGGACCACTCGTCGAGGTGAGGATGCTGCACCTTGACCGCGACCTTCTCGCCGGTGGCTTTCAGGGTGGCAATGTGTACTTGTGCGAGAGATGCGGCTCCGATCGGTCGTGGATCGAAGTCGCTGAAGTAGTCTTCCAGACCCATCCCGGTGTCTTGTCTCACCATGGCGTCTATGGCAGAGTAGCTGCTGATCGGACATTTGTCCTGCAGCGGAATGAAGGTATCACACCATTCGTTTGGCAGTATGTAATTCAGGCTCGTAAGATGCTGTCCCAGCTTGATGAAGACACTCCCGTTGCGCTCCATGGCGTCTAATGTCCGTTCAGCGCATCTCTTATGCGTGGCGGAAAGCTTAGCATTCATCTCCGGGTCGTCACCAGGCTTCCTCAATATCCAATAGTAGTCATTGATGTTGAATGCCAGGACGTAGACGACCCTTGCGCTCCGCTCGAGGGCGATGTAGGCATACCGAATCCTGTCGCTGAATGCAAATGCACCAGCACCGGTGAGGAGGAGGATGGTGGCAGCAATGGCTACTCGTCGCCTTGGCCGCGGTGTGCGCATTGGTTCTCGCCATGTTGTCTTGCCGGCTTGGGAGTAGAGTCGTTGCTGGATAGAAGGGGAGGGTCGTCTACTTCGTACCGTCTGTAGGCAGTGGCGGCATATCCATGGCTGTGATGGTCGCGTGATGGCAGAAATGGCAGAGATGGCTCGCCATGGTAGAGTGGGTGTCATCGCATGGTCGAATTGCAGTTGCTGTCGAGCCTGTCTAAGACCAATGACTGTGACTAGGAATCGAGCTGTTACTGCGTGTGGCTTAGGAGTTGGGAATCAGTGTAGACTATGCGCATATAACGCCGTCATCGAGTGTTGAAACCCTTACATAGATATGGCCAACGGTCACCTCGGTCTCCCTACGCGCGCAAGCACCAAGTGTTCGCCTTCGCCATCTCGTCTGCAACTACCTAGCAATGAGTACTCAGGACTAGCGACTTCGAATGTTCCCAACTTTGCAGGTCGATTGTAGAGACCCTACCTGCCTCATGCGCGCTACGGCTCGTTGCCAGCCTGGGACATACAACGACTGGTTGACCATCGTGTCAAAAGCAATCAAAACAGCCGCTGCATGGACTCTAATCTTCGTCGCACCTACCTGTACATGGGGCACTAGGTAGTAGTCACGCTGGTCACGGATCGTTGTACCTGGAGTATCCGTACACATCCCTGGCCCAGGTTGTCAACAAGAAGCCCATTTGGTTGGGTCGCCTTCGCAAAGACCACGACGGATTAGCCTGAAAACGGTACTTGAGAAGCGCTCACGACCTCCATATGGTGCATGTTCTCGATGTGCATCATGGTCCGGGCACCAAAAGTGGCACAAGACCCATTGTTCAAATCGCGCGATATGGGCTGAGCGTAGGGCTCTGCGCAAATTCAATGGAAAGCTTCTTCGCGGCGTATCTCATCCTAAGCAGTATATACCGCAGGCACATCTTACCACATTGGGTAGAGTTCCGTCACCAGCCAGCCCAACGCCACGCTAAACCCGGTATAACTCGTCGCACGTAATCATCGTACCCTCATTCACCTCATTCTGTGCCCCCGGTCCTAGCACGCTCCCGGAAGAGACTTCCTTTCCCTTATGCTTTATGGCGCCGGGTTCTCCCTGACCACCTGCCGCACCTTCTTCTCATAAGCCGCCTTGTCCCTCTTGAACAGATTGTACGCATCCGCCTGGGCCGGCGACTCCGGGTTGACTTCATCGAGCAGCATTTGGATGCCGATTAGTATCTCCTTGAGTGTGATGGCCGGGCGCCAGCCTTCCTCTTCATTGAGGATGCTGAGGCAGACGGTGCCGGAGGGGTAGACGTTGGGGTGGAAGAGTGGGGGAATGAATTTGCCTAGCAATTATTGTTAGACCTGGTTCGCCATGGGGATTTAAGAATGGGTTTGGGCGTACATTTTGGTGGTTTGGTTGGGTATTCTAGGCTTGAATGTTAGCTTCATGCGTCGTGAATGGTTGGGGAGGCGTCTGCGACTCACCATCCGGAAACTGCATCTCCATCTTGAACAACCCTCCCTCCCATATCGTCTTGTCCTTGCCGGGGATGGCGCAATCCCATCGCTTGAGGTCGAGAGTGCCTTGTGGGGTCTTCATCGGTCGCGCAACGAAGCCAAATGGGTGGTCTTTGCGCCAGTTCTTCCTGCACCACGTCATTAGTACTGCTCATGTGGCTGCGACTCCTCATATGGTGGCGTACCGCTCCTCGCTGAGTCGGGTCATGCATAGCGACATCTTGGCGTCGATGTGGGAGGCGGTGATGGACGTGGAGATTGTTGGGATAGTGGGGAATATGATGGTCGCGTGACCGAGGTGAGTGTAGTAGCGAAACCAAGCTGTTGAATTAGTGTGTTGCGCGAGCGTGAATGAGAGACGAGTGCTTCACTTTCATTCGGCATATTGTGCTCTCGGAGACGGAAGCTCTGATGCCTTAGGCCGATCATGCATGAATGGTATCGATACCGGAACGGAAGCCGAGAGTGGGATAAGCCTCGGCTTCTGACCGGCCTACGCCATATACCATCTCATGTATTCGATGGCGTACTGATCGCAACAACCATAAAAGCACCCCATGCCCTTCGCAGTCACCATCAAGAAGGAAGTAGTCGAGATCAGACGGCATTGAACAACAGCATGGCGGAAAAGCCACCTCACGATACAGCGGATAGCGTGCCGGACCCGGAGGAAGATGACCTCGATGATCTGGACGGTATACCCTCCAACCCAACAACGTCCACATACACACTCTATGCTGACTACTCCTAGACGTCCTTGACGAGTTCCAACCAACCCCGAAACCGACATCAACATCTGTCCCTTCCCAACCCAACCAAGCACCCGCTCCCTCGGCATCAGGTCCAGGCAGACCACCCGCCCACGGCCAAGATGGCGGACGCTCCGCCTCCACCAGCGAAAGTCAAGAACAAGACCTCGCCGCCCAGCTGCAAGCAGGCATGTCATCTCTCATCTCCGAGCTGGATGCCAATCCCGAAATGCAGCGCCAATTCGAAACCATGATGCAGGAACTTATCGCCGCAGGCGCCGCACCCTCGGATCACGAAGCGGGACAACATCTGAAAGACGCTGCGAGAACGGTCCCAGTACCTGATCCTTCTCCCGTCCCCCAACCGGGCAAGAAGGCTGCGGGCGAAAAGGATGGCTCAGCAGACTTCAGCTCCACCATACGCCGCACAATGGAGCGAATGCAGCATTCCGACTCCACCGCTTCCACCGCCGCCACCGCGCGTGAAACCTCAGAAGAAGACCTTCTCGCGCAAATGCTGAAAGAGCTCCAATCCGGCGGTGCGGGAGAGGGTGAAGGAGGGGAGGAAGATTTCAACAAAATGCTGCTAAACATGATGTCGCAACTTACGCATAAGGAAATTTTGTACGATCCGATGAAGGAGTTGCATGAGATGTTTCCGGGATGGATGGAGAGGAATAGAGAGGGTAGTGGAAAGGGGAAAGTGGGAAAGGAGGATATGGAGCGGTATGAAGAGCAGCAACGGCTGGTGGGCGAGATTGTGGCGAGGTTTGAGAGAAAAGGGTATTCAGATGATGATGAGAGGGATCGGGAGTATATTGTTGAAAGGATGCAGAAGGTGAGTCTGCTCTGCTCGCTTTTCGTTTTGAAGGTTGTCGTTCTCCGGTGAAAGAAGCTGACGAGAGTATCATGGATACAGATGCAAGCGGCCGGTTCGCCGCCGCCAGATTTAGTTGGAGATATGAGCGCGGCGCAGGAGGCATTGGGCGATCTGGATGCGGGATGTCCGACGCAGTAGTACGCCTCTCGTGATGCTCTGATGCTTGTACATGTTGTACACTCCTTGTGATACCCCCCAAAAGCAGCATGGCGATCCCAACAATCTTACTGCTGCACGCAAACCGGTATCGACGTGCGCCAAACACCTCGCTGAATCACATACCGAAACATTGCCGAAAGTCAACATAGATCCATCATGAGACATCCATAGCCTCGCTCCCATCTTCTCGGACAACACCAGCTGAGTACAGCTGCTGCTGCCTGTCTTCGTCGTGTTCCATAACCTCGGAGAACAGCGCATCATAATCATCATCGATGTCGCTCCAGAGTTGCTGCGAGCTTGTCTCACCCTCCACCTCTTCTTTCGCCATAAGCGAAAGCAGCGCCTCCATCTCCTCCTCTTCCCGCAGCAGCACCTCATCCACTTCCTCTTCGGGCCGGAGTTGGCTCGCTGGTGCTGAAATCTGCATTGCGTTACTCGACATCGGCAAGACAAACGCCTCCCTCTCCTCTCCTTCCTCCTCGGCAGGGTCAAAGGGTAGACTGGATGCTTCGCGCTCTTGCTCCGCTTCCCATGCTCGCTGTCGTTGCATGAAGTCCAGCCTCATAATCTGCAGCACACCTCACGATCAGCCCCCATCCTCACCAGCGTCAGCTCACACGGTTGGGATATACGTACATCCTCACCCCTCCGCTCCCACCTCCCCTCTTCCCGCCCATCCCTGACCTTCTGCAAGAACATCCGCCGCCGCCGCTCCTTCAGCTCGTCTGACTTCGACAGTGATGAAGGCGCTTTCTTCAAATTTGCCGCCCGCTTGCTCCATCCCTGTTTGCCTCGTGTCTGCGGTCTCGTCTTCTCGCTCGATGCGTCCGACATATAGCTGGAAGGCGAGGAGTATCTGCCATGGATTTGACTATTTGCGCTGATGGGCGAGAGTGGGGAGGGGATGCGCGGGAGGAATGTCTGCGTCGAATGATCGGCGTGATAGTGCGAGGCAAACATTGCTTTGAGCGGGAAAGAAAGCCGGAAATGATGTGTGGTGGATGTTGCGAGCGGAAGCCTGACGCGAAGTGGACGCGTTGGGAGTTGCTAATGACGGAATGAGGATGCATGCCTAAGGCAAACGGCTTCTCGAAACAGAGAGTGTACGAGGCAAATGGTGTCTGTTTATCTACGTGGAGACGCTACTACTACTCGCCAGCTTCTCAAGCTCAGCCGATGCATCTGCGTGTCGCTCTCCGCCGAACGGCCTTCTCGCACTCTCCCGTAAGCCACGCACACCCTCCCTCTCCCCTGCCTTACTCAACCTCACGCCCAAGCCCTCCTTCAACTCCCCACTGAAATCCAAACTCTGCTGCAGCCTCTGCTCATCCAGAATGGACTTCAATTTCTCCCTGTTCCGAAACCTCCTCAAACTAACCTCAGCCCACTGATTCCACACCGTCCCCTGCTCGTCCGCCCTTCGCACCGTCTCCGCCAGACCTTCGGCATCCTGCGCCTGCGCATATCCGCCCAGCAGCGAGGTCCACGTCACGACGTCGGGCTCCATTCCACGCTTGCGCATGTATTGCAGTACTTGTTCGGCGAGTTTCATCTCTCCTTGCCTGACGAAGCCGTGTAGGAAGGTTGACCAGGTGATACGGGTCGGCGGAGCTTGCGTGACGCTTGCGGATGCCGGGAGCGGCTGCTGCATGTCCTTGACCACCTGCGCAGCGTTCAGGAGTGATCGCTTGGTCTTGGTGAAGGCGTAGAGGAACATGTTCGCCAAGGCGACGTCGCTATCGGCAGCCAGAGGAGCAAGGACTGGGTCGCCGCTTTTTACCAGCTCGCGCCAGCGATCGTATATCTCGGCGGCGTCTTTCACTCTAGCCTGCGTGGCGAGCCATGTCCATATGAGATGCTTGATTGCAAAAGACGTTGGCGCCCGCTTCGGCGCTGTCGGTTCGTCGGAGTCTGTTATCGGTGATCCCGGCATATTTAAGCCCAATCTGTTGAGTGGCTTGGTATCGTAGAACTGGGCGAAAGCGGTGGCGACTGTTTCGAATGCAGTCTTAGGATTATGCTTGACGTGGTGCAGCGCTAGGCAATGCAAGATCTCGCCGGTGACGACATCTTCATTCTTCACATCGACATGCTCAATCGTGTACTGTATGACTTCCTTCAACAGCTTGGCGTTATCAATGTCGCTTTTGCACGCCTTGAGCCGGATGGCGCAGGTATGCTTGTCCGGCTGATGGCCCTGCTCGATCATGGAGCGGTAGAGCTTGTGAGCCGTCTCCAAATCTCCGGCTTCCACCGAGTTCAGCAGGACGATATTGAAGAGTTGAACATTTAAATGCAGACCGAGTTGGCTGAGATTTTCAATGATGCGTAGAGAGATCCGCAAGCCGTCCGGGTGCCTGCTGGCTTGCCGGAGTATGGTGGAGCATGCGCTGCGGAAGAGCACCGAATTCACCTCAACGCCAGTTGTCTTTTCGCATTGCAGTAGAGCGTCTAGGGCCAACTCCATCTGATCAGCGTGCGCGAAGCGGTATACCAGTTGCAGCACGGTCAGCCATGAACACTGAAGCCTTCCCGACCTTATCGTCTCGAAGATCTTGCGAACCTGCTCCGTTGTACAGAAAGGCAGCAACAACCGAATGTAGCTGCTATCGCTGAATGTCCAACGTTCGAGTGTCTCGCGGTTGAGGACTTCGAAGAATGTGGCGATGAGGTCGCGGAACGTAGCAGAACGGGCTTCGTCTGTCTGCCCGGCAGCCCATTGACAATGCAACGCAATCAGTTGCAGGCAGTCCGCAACCCAATTGATGGGCGGATAGGGTTGATGGTTCGTTGCGCGAATGAATCTCGTCACCTTGGGCTTATCGTACTTCAACAGGTGTAGCGCAACATCCGCCCAAACCTGACGATCGAGTCTGTGGTAACGCTTAGCTATGTTGGATAGATCAATAGCGTTACTGCTCTCGTCATGCAGCATGTGCAGGACTTCTTCAAGGCATTGTTGCGTTTCTGGATTTTTCTGTGGCTCGCCGATATTGTCGACTCGACGGTTGTCGGGTAATCGCATAAGGTCATACTGACGGCTAAGCCGAGCGAAGGCAACATTCCACTGAGAGGAAAAGACAGCGGTAGGTTGGAGATCCGAACGACTTGAGGTCCACCTTGCCGGTGTCCCCAACCCTTCTTGATTCGCTCGCAAACGCGTGGAGAGTCGCATAATCTCTGCAGGACTGAGATGCGGCATTTTCCGAGCGAGAGCCGCCCTTTGCCTCTCCACAGGGTTGCGAAGAGGTCGGAAGACTTTGCCAACGTGAGGTACGGGAACAGCTTTGGAGTGATTTGCCAGTCTTCGACGGAGCTGAGTGTGCGTTCGCGGCGATGGCTCGACTCTTCGAATTAGTGAGTGCTCCACGTCCTCTGCCAATATAGACGACGCCAAGACTGGCTCGGACATCTCAGTAGTCGTCGGCCATGTAGCAGTGTTGGATATTACCGGTTTCTTCGAGCTCGCAGGGGACTGAGCACGCGAGGGTTCGGTTGAGGGCGGTGCACATTGACGAGCCAATATGAAGTCTAGGTATGCCGAGTTGGCATCAAAGTCCGAGTATTCATGAGCATTGGCATCCGGGCGTTGGACCGTCTCATCTTGCTGGCGCACTCCGAGGGTGAAAGCGTACCCTCGCTGCCTCTGATGGACATCTTTGCGCCATTGCTGCCAGCTGGGCTGGGACGCAGGTCGCGCTACGTTGGCAGACCTACTTGTTCTGGAGCGCGAGAGGACGTGCCATAGGAGCATAGGCGGACATTGGAGGTGGTCATGCAAGCATGCGAAGACGCAATAGTGGTGAAGACGGGGAAATTGCTCGATAGGAGCTTTGAGCGCCGCGGAGGTGAAGTGCTGGTTGACATGACTCGCGTAGCTGTTTGCCATATTCTTGCTATTGACTTGCATTTCTTGTCTAGCCATGATACAGCAGTCTTCGCAAGAGGTGATAGATGCAGCCACGTCACGATTCATACCGGCAGTATAGGCGGTTCGACATCTGTACTTTGTGAGCAGCATGGCGTCAGTCCAAGCGCTCAGCGCCGCGGCGCAAGACCGCAAAGCCCGCCTCGCGCAGCTCAAGTCACTCAAGCGCAAGCAGCCCGACGCCTATCAGGAGACGGATGAGAACGCGCCAGCTCCAAAGTCACCGCGCCATGACACTGCATCAGCCGAAGCAGATGTCGCGACGACTTACCTCTCTGGTAGAAACTACGATGTAGAGACCAAAGGCCCAAGGCTAGGCTTCGAAACCGCACCTTCAGAGGGTCGAGAGACGCTGGAGAAGAAGGCTGCGGTACTGGCGGCGGAGATCAAGAATCAAGCAGAGGAAGAGGAGAAGGCAGATAAGCCGCTGGACCTGTTCACCCTGCAGCCTAAGAAGCCGAATTGGGACCTCAAGCGAGACCTGGAGAGGAAGCTGGAAATACTGAATGTGCGAACCGATAATGCGATTGCACGTCTGGTCCGAGAGCGCATAGCGAGCCAGCAGAAAGCGGCAAAGGCGAAGGTTGAACAGGCGAATGGAGGTACGAACGGTACCACGCACCCAGACGGTGAAGGTGAGGAAGTTGGCATCGAGGGTACGACTCTGGTGGAAGCCACTAACGTGCGAGAACGAGAGGACGAGGAGGATCTCAGGCGAGAGAGGGAGGAGGAAGCTGAGTTGCTGGACGCAAGCTGATGCCTCCGAGGTCAAGGACACCCTTCCACCGATCTAATGTTGCTCACACCTCAGTCGGCTTGCTGTAATGTTTCAGCATCCAACACCCGGCAGCCTCTTGGTTGCTCCTCGCTTCTGCAACACAGCGGCACGCATCCCTACCGATTCTGCTGATGCGGAAGGTCTCCGTGCGGAACGAAGGCCGATGTCAGCACGAGACTTGAGAGGCAATGATGTCTCATGGCTAATAACTTGCAAGCAACTGAATCTGTGCCGCCATGCTTTATGATTCATGACCGCTGTCCAAGCATGTGACAGACCTCGTGTACCCATTTACGATCCTCGACCCCCTGAGCCGGCAGGACGGCTCTGCATTTAGGCGAAAGTACACTACAGGCACGGGACGCGAGGCATGAGGCGCTGGCCTGGACCGTAGCTCTGCATGTTCGACGAGGTGGCGTGAAGTCCGTCTTGGGTGGGAGCGCTTAGTGTCAAAGCTCATGCCGCGCCTGCGCAACAATCATTGAGTATTTGGCCAACCTGAGCGGCAGATAGAGTTCGAGCTCCTACTGGGGCAAAGTGCGGAGAAGCGCATAATCACATTGAGACAGGTCGGTAGCGCAGAAGGTATTCATTGGGCACTTCATGCTGTTGATGCTTTGTGACAGTGGGAACAGCAGCCAATCCCCAATCACTGACTCCTCTCCCCGTGCGGCTTGTTTGGGACAAGCGTGGCTACTTTGATACTTAGATAGAACGAGCGGGGTATGGTATGACTTTGAGGCTAGCGAATAGTCAAGGGCTGGAGATCGAACGAAGTGAAGGATCGTAACCTCAACAGTGGTAGCAAGCTGCGCTCACAGAACCTACGGGCTACAAGGGACAGCATGGAACGGCGGAGCCGGCTTGCAAGGAAGTTGCTGACAGGATCCGCGCTCGATTCTACTTAGATTGATAGCTGCAAGAAACCGTTCTGAGATGACCTGCAGCGGATAGCGGACAATCAATATATCCGCATGGTTATTCAATGAGACAGCTTTAGGCGTGTGAGGCGGGTGCGGCGCATGCTTGTGTGCCGTGCACAGCTCGTCCTCGCTGGCCCGAGCGTTGTGGAATCTGTTGGGACACACACGGTTCGAAGGACGGCGACGGGCCAAGAGAATGGTCATCATGTGCGCGGCGTACCGTATTCTGCAAGCTTGTCGAGGTGTCATGTGTGCCAAGGGAGGGATGTCGTGGCTGTATAGTCTTGGGAAGAAGAAGTTTGTGCTTGTGATTTCCAAGGGCGCCAACACAATGGCATGCATGACCGCACGGACCGCTCGACGCTAGAGTGGTGAATCGATTGGACGCACAGACGGAAAGGCATGACTTGCATGCAGATTGCGAGCCCAACAAACGTGACCGTCAAAGTTCGCAACGGTCGAGCTGTTTCGAGGGTCTTGCAACTGCTCGCTCGTCGCTTTCATATCGGTGATATCTTGGTGGGACGGAGGTCACTTCTTAGTCGCCGGCGAAAGTGCGGGAGATGGTCATGGTGGAGCAGTTGAGGCGCGAGTAGTCAAGCCGAGTCAGTGGTAGCCGTGCGTGGAGTGCTGATTGAGCCACGACATCATCATCCACCCGAGCTTAAGTGAACAACCCTTGATCCTCGCTCAACCTGATCAGCAAGTAGCCCACAGGCAGCATTTCCACGGGGAAGAGAGTTGAGACAGGACCCGGTAGTCACACTGTACTCCCACTACAATCGAGTACACTGCGAACTGCCTCCGACCATGATACGGCCGCCATAACAGGTGTTACTCGAGGATATCAACCTTCAATGTCTTGCCAAGGCCACTGTGGTTGAAGGGTCTCTCTAGGAGGACACGGCTTGAAGCTGTGGCCGCTCAGTTTGAGTGGCTGATTCAGGAAGTTGCGATCAACGCAAAGCCATGTCAACAGAGTCTGCGCAGGACAGGCAGCAGGATGGCGAAAGAGGAAGCAGTCGCGATGCAGATAGTACACCCACGTTGGAAGCGCCAGTCGCCGTCAAGGTCTTCTCCCCGTCGACAGCTTCCGAGTCCTCGCAGCGGACGGCGACCCAGGAAACAGACTACTTCACCTCACAACTTGCCCTCCCGGCATTGTCCCGCTCCCCAAGCATCACACCTGCGCCAAGCGTTAGCACCAGTGCCAGTGATGTGACCGCGACGGGGCAACTGCAGGTGCCAGACGCAGCATCGCTCCTGCATGCATCCGAGCAGCTACAGCAGCAGCGCCCGGGCCCGCATACGCAGATGTCGAGCCGCAGCGTGGAAAGCACGGACAGCGATGCAACAGTCACTGCGAAAAGTATGAGAGCAAGCGCGCCCGCGGTGCCACAATCAATACATCCCGGCTTTCCAGACCAGACCTTCGCCGCCATTCAAAGGCAACAATATCCCGTGCGCCAACACCCGCGGCCCGTAGAGCTGTGGCGGCAAAGGACTTCTCATACGGGCGGGACAGCAGCACGTCCTACTCCGCCAAGCGGAATACATACATTCTCTTCTGCACTGGCGGCCTCGCTACACCCTTCAGGTACGCAATCGCAAGTGCAAACACCACTGGCAGCTCCTGGACCCGGCTTGTACACGCCAAACACGGCGACGCCGCCTGAAGAATACGATAATCCGGACACCCCCGGTACGTATGCAAGTCCTTTCTTGCACTTTACGCACCGGCAGGCGCCGAAGGAGACGCATGTTGCCGACGTCGACGTCGACCCGATATCAGGTCGCAAGCTCATCAACCACTACGAGATCATTGATGAGCTTGGTCGCGGCACGCATGGTAAGGTCAAGCTTGGTCGCGACTTACAGCTGGAGAACACGCACGTGGCGATCAAGATCGTCGAGCGGTATTCGAAGCGACGCAAGCTTGGCAAGTTGGTGTCGGCGGCTGAAGACAAGGTGAAGAAGGAGGTCGCGATCTTGAAGAAGGCTCGTCATCCCAACGTAGTGGCCTTGCTAGAGGTCATTGACGATCCTACTCGGAAGAAGGTCTACATCGTGCTGGAATGGGTAGAGCGAGGCGAAATCCGGTGGCGGGTCAAGGCACCCAAGGAGATTGCAATGGTGGAAGCGCGTCGCTACGCTAGCGAGAAGGCAGGTCACGTTGATGCGAAGAGGACTGCTGAGGACGAAGCCGTTGTCATTGAGGCACAAAGACGCCTTGCGAAGGAGAAGCGGCGCCGAGCGAGGGATGAGCGGCAGTATCTAAAGAAGAGGTTAGCGGACCACGACGATGATCCTGCATCTTGGAGTCTCGAGCTTGTTGGTGAGGAGGTGAGCGAGGATTCGGAGGACGATCGTCTGTCTCGGATCTCAACAGCGACCACCGTCGACTCCGCAGCCGGGCTGTTCGAAGACAGACGTGGGCTTGCGCGTGCTAACTCGCCGTTACCGCCACATGCGCCAGGCGACTCACTAGGCTTGGATACTTCGTCGCAGTATCGCCAAGTGACAGGGCAGCCACAGACAATGTCACCTGTGCACGCTGCAGTCGACGCTATGCATCTGTTCTCCAGAGGGCTCGAGGGCACGATGTACGGCTCTTACGCCGGCAGCTCCACCGACTCATCCTGCATCAACAGCCTGACGAGCAGTATGCACGAGGCCAGCATCAGCCCGGCAGAATACGCTCAGTGGGCATGCGAACAACTGGACAGTGACAGCGTACTCGATCCGGAGCTACAGTATGCACCGATCCTTACGATTCGGGATGCACGAGTAGCGTTCAGGGACACCTTGCTCGGTCTGCAGTACCTGCACTATCAGGGCATTGTGCATCGCGACATCAAACCGCCTAACCTGCTCCAGACATTCGACTATCGGGTCAAGATCTCCGACTTCGGTGTCTCATACCTAGGACGGCCTTTGCACGAAGGCGAAAACGGCGAAGAAGTCAGTGAGCAGGATGCACAGGACTTCGACGAGGCAAAAGAACTTGCGAAGACTGTTGGCACACCCGCTTTCTACGCTCCGGAACTCTGCATCACCGACCCAAGCGAAGATCCGCTCCCGGTTACGAAAGCTATTGATGTCTGGGCGCTCGGCATTACTCTGTTCTGCATGCTGTTTGCGCGGACGCCTTTCGTAGATACCGAGTTCGTTGTGATGCGTCAGATTGCAGATGAAGAAGTTTACATCCCACGAAAGCGACTATCACCGGTGAGTGAGAAGGGTGACTCTCGGCCTCCTTCACACGGCCGCGCCTTTCCACCACATCTCACTGGACGCCGAGATCCACTTGCCCTTATGTATGAGGAAATCGACGACCATTTGTACGACCTGCTCAAGCGGCTGCTGACGAAAGACCCAAGAAAGCGCATCACGCTGGAGGAGGTGCGCCACCACCCTTGGCTTGCCGCAGATCTGCCGAACAGAGCCAAATGGCTCGAAGAAACGGATCCTTCTCGTCAGAGTCAAGGCAAGAAGATTGAAGTTTCGAATGAGGATGTCAAGACCGCCGTTGTGCCGTTGCAGTTCCTCGACCGTGTAAGGTCCGGCATTAAGAAGGTCACGGAAAGGCTCGGCTTCGGTGCCAGCAGCGAAAAGAGCAAGACGCCCGGTCGCGCCCGAGCGCCTTCCACTGCTGGGCAAGGCGCCACGGCTCCCTCATCACCTGCAGCTTCCGCGAACTCATCCAGCAGCACGCTGAACATGGAGCATCGCCGGAGTAGTCTCCGTGGCGATGAGGACATCTTCTCTGCTCTGAAGGCTTCGCGGCAGGGTGAGCGATCAGGAGAACATCCACTGTCTAAGAGCGTGGCTGCCAGCCCTGAGACCGAACGAAGCGAGCCCTTCTTGGCCCCGAACAAAGCGCACATGCAGCCTGGGACCGCATCAACCGATCTAAAACTTCGGCCAACGGTGTCACGACCCAGCCCACCCGAGCGCTCCAAGACGATCATGTCGACGACAAGCTCGGGCCGCACTATGAAGCAATCTGACATCGGCAGGGGCCGAGAGTCGCCACCCCCATCTCCCGGTCTGCCGAGCACGCCCATTGCGCTTGCATCACCGGGCGGCTCCGGACTACAGTCTATCTTCAGTAGCGGTGCCGCCCGTCGCGCACTGAAGAGCTTGCGGGAAGCGAGCATACCAAGGAGTGAAGTGAGAGGGCGCTCACAGGACCGCGTGTCGATACACTCCATCGATGCGCACGGAGAACCCACCCTTGCTCTTAGTCAGACCAGCGCAGAGGGTCTCGTCAACCCACCTCAGGCGCTACAAGACATTGCCCCGAAAAGCAGCGCTCCCAGCAGCATTCAGAACAGCCCAGTCGGCTCCAGATCGCACTCTGTCGTCTCGTCGCCACAGGATCGTCTGCAGCCGCTACCTAACTTCCCGTCTGCACTATCTCGTAATAGCTCGGGTGGATCGATAAGATCGATCAGCAGGTCCAGCGAAGCACCGGTAGCAGTTGCGAGCCCACCAGTAGCTATTGCAAGCCCCGTGGCGTCTCAAGCCCGCGAAGCCATTGGATCAAGTGCTGCGGACTGGCAACGTGCGGAGGATGAGCACATCAGGAAGATCATCCGCGAAGAGCAGGAGAAGGCTGCACGCATGACGAGTGCTTTCGATGACCGTACCTGCCCGCCTAGTCCAGATGATCAAAGGGTGAAGCGGCGACAGTCCCAGCACCCTCCGCCGCTTGAACTATCTACCCCAGCGTCATCACACGAAACTAGCCCGACAGGCCAGATTTCGCAACTCCCCGCGGCTATGGTGTCGAGCTCATCGGACTTTGGCTCGGCGGTCTCCATGTCGGTGTCGAACCCGTCGATACCGTCTGTCATCTCAGAGGCCTCTTCAATCGATCCAGCGGACGGTGCGCCGCTTGAGGAATTCGAGTCGAAGCGGAACGACTCCTCCGGTGACACTCTCAACCCCAAGCCCTTGATGATCGAAGAAGAAGAGGAAGCGGTCGACGAGGGCTACAGCCCAGACCAGGATCAAGCTCTCGACAGCGACAACGAAGAGTATGAGGATTCCTCGGACAGTGACGGTGGTTTAGTCATGTCGAGGCGTAAATCGAAGTCCTCGCACACCGGCGGACGTAGCGGAGGCCATCCATCCGCCGCTGAGAAAGCCGGCATGAAGGAACGACGAGGTACCGGCTGGTCGAAGAAGTCAAGCCGAAGCGGCAGCAATAATACCATGAAGAAAGTTCGCACACCGGACAGCGAGGATGAGCGTAGCAGAGACTCGCACGAGCTCCGCGAAGAAGACTGATCTGAAGCTCGATGGCTACCAGAATCAGCTTTGTCCGTCCGATCCGGCTACAACCACAACTCCGCTCACAGCTCTTCTGTTGAACATTAACGATTTACGAAGCATGTGTCGATGATACATGCGTGCTCTATACCCCCAATACCACAACACGTTCAATTCTTGTTCTTACTCTTACAACAGGATATCTGTCTGTTAGCGTTATGGCATAGTTTCGCGGAGTCACGTCGAGGACTGAAGGAATACGATAGATGGGAAAGGCAGCTTTGTGTAGCATATGTCGCCGCATGTGGGAAGGCACACGCTTGTTTGTTGGAGTGGGAAAGAGCATGTGAATGTTATAAGACACAGGCGGGCGTCTCTCTGCCTTCCGAAAAGTATAACCTCGTTGGCGAGACTTGTAGAGCGATAGCGCGGAATTTCAGTCTGTTACACGCCGAGAAATGGAGTGTCACCTTGGGCCATCGCTTCCACCCGAGACATTCTAGCTGTTTGTCGTGCAAATGATCTGTTCATTGAGATCTTCTCGTGCCTTCGTCCACATACCCTATCGTGGAACTGTATTGCATCGACGAGGTGATGTGAAACCGGGTTGGAGGGCCTCGCCAACCGTTAGAAAGACGTAGAAATCGGCCATCTCAACCAACTGCTTTCATCATGTCCAAAAGATCGGCTGCTCTCGGCTTAAGGAATCCTAGCCTTCTACACCACCACGAACAGATGATGTGGCCAGAACGACTTACCAACTAGCTGCGAGCGACAAGCGGCCAATATTGCGGTGGGTATCACGAATAGTGTAATCGTGTACACTGTGGTCGGGGCGAGGCAACCAGTGCCACATCGCTGAGGTCTCCGACCCCAAGTCGGCTATTCGAGCCAACAAGCAGACAGTCTAACACGTGTTGACAATGCAATCCGTGCTTATAGAGCATGCAGTCGGCACAGTTTCCTTGTGGCGGCTCGAGACCAACTCCTTAGCTACGGGCGGCTGCTCGTGCTATTTGAAGCGCATGCAGTCTCCCGGGCAGCGAACAACGGCGCTTAAGAGTGCATATCGAAGGAAGAGGCTACCTTTTGTACTGCCCCTTCAGCCTTGCAGGCGCAGCGGATCAGAGACTGCGCGCCATCCACGCTATACCGAGACACGGAAGGCTTCGAGAAGGCTTCGATGCAGTAGCTCTGTCAGGGATGACTTGCCAAGATACGCTGACGGTGCGCGAGGCAAGATAAATCTGCACCCTTTTCACCGATCATTTGCGTACTCAACGCAATTCCTTACTGCTGACGGCAGCTGTTACCGTGCCTACCCTAACTGCGTCTCAAAAGCTTGTACGAGTTAGGGACTGACACACAGCAAACATCGTGTTCATCGCCACACCATGACAGCTCACGCCACCTGGATTATCGAGCAACGCTGCGCCAGGTTTCACCGCACCCTGCAGGTTGCCGGCCCCTGGCAGCAGAACTGCTTACGCTAGAGAAGCTAAGCTGCAGGAGCGGAGTGGAGACGAAAGCCCGCCAGCTGTCGCGCCATCACGGTGCGATCATGGCTCCAGTCGTCAGCTTCGGAGGTTTCTGCGTGATCGTCGATGAGACACTGAACAAAGCTAAGTGAATGGGATGTCGGTCCGTTTCCGTGCAGGCACGACATAGTGACCACTCTCTCGCTTTCCGAGCGTGTTCTCGCAATCGGCAGGTCCAATTGCCTGGTGTTGGGAGGCAATATCTAGGAGGAATGGAGGCCTTGCTTTGCATCATTGCACCGTGAGCAACCACTAGAAACTCTCGCAATAGGAATCAAAGGCTTGCAACTCTGTAACTTGCGCGCCGCCCATCAGAAACCTAACGCATAGGCCGCATCTTCTACCTTCTAACGCTTTACCATCTCGGGATTAGGCTCAGCCGACATGCAAGGATGAGCAACTCCGTCTGCGACGCTAGAAGCGCCATCGAAGGGATGGCTATTACGTTTGGCGCGTGAACGTTGCCCGCTTCCCTTGTGGCCCGCTGCCAGTACAGAATCAGCGTCTACCTTCTCATCAGAGTCACTCGTTGTTTCTCACACGGACCTTTAATTGAAACTTCACTCTTGGAAAGGCCTTCCAACCCGGTCAAGGCTGCCTAATAGAACGACCTGTTGCCTAACCTCACATCAGCGATACGCCGCGCAAACCTCACGCAAGCGCCCACGAACCACCAGCCGTCTCAGCCTACCGCGGTCGTCTTACGGACCATTGTAGTATTCGCCTTTCTCGCTTTTTAATCAACAGCATATTGGAGCAGTGTGCTTCCCGGAACAACATCGTACAGTAATACCAAACATTTCAAGCGGACGCATCACAAAGGCTGCCCGAAACACCAAGTCTTGGTCATACAGCATCCCTTGCCGAAGGTCTCAAGAGCAGCCATACAGGTGCACCATCTTGGTCTCACTGCATCTGTGCTACGGTCTTTCATTACAACGTCGCAATACTTGCTGGAGAGACTTTTGTGTGGGTCTGGTGTCTCGTTCAATGAGAATCTCCCCGTGGGAAGCCGTCCGATAACGTTTCATGCTTGGGCGCAACGGAGTGAATCGAAACACTACCACAGCAATCGCAAAAGCAACGCTAGGTCTATTGGACTTTGAGGCATTCGGAATCGTCCGGAGAAGAAGCGGGTCGCAACTTACCGCCCGAACCTGGGTTCGATCACCGTCGAAGAGTTCTACGCTCGAGTCGCGACTTGCACGCCCGCTGAGTGAGTGAGTGCAGTCTGAGAACTGGCGAGGTCCACCACACATCAAGCTGGCGTCGATACAGCAGCCCCTGCGGCATCCGCTGTATTCGGTCGTTGGTAGGTTACGACCATCGAAACAGAGTCGCAACCACAGCAAAAGCCTTCCACGCGTTATGATATCGAGAAGGTCGTCCTCGCAACTATCAACCATCTCATCCGGATCGTCGCAAAAATCTACGAAGTCCTCTAAATCGCATCCCGCTTCCGCAGTGTCGGAGTGGGACGCTGACGACGAGGACGCTATGTCTTCTGAAGGAAGCACGTCGTCTACAAAACCACTCAGCGTTGCCATACCGAAAGTCGGCGAAATCCAGGGGCCGTACTGTCCGCGGAGACCAGCGTTACGCGAGATCCTGGCAAACACATCCCCCGCGCCATGGACGCTTGCAGCATTCATGGCATACTTATCCAACAACCATTGCTTAGAAACGCTAGAGTTCACCATGGACGCTGGACGTTATCGGAAACATTACGCCAAGATGATGTCAAGAGCGTCCGGCGGTGTGCCACCAGCGAAGGATGCTGAGTATGTGCAAGCATTGTGGCACCGGCTGGTGGACGCATACATCCGTCCAAATGGTTCGCGAGAAGTCAATCTGCCCTCTGACGTACGGGACGCGATACTTGAGCTTGAGTCAGGCTCTCTGCCTCCGACGCCGGATGCTCTGGACGCCGCTGTCGCCAAGACCTACGAGCTTATGGAGGAGTCGGTGTTGGTACCGTTTCTGAACGCTTACTACCCTCAGACCGCGCATCCCACAGTGGCGTCATGCCCTTATGACACTTTTGCAGAGGGCATACCGCTCACCGCCTCAAGAACCACGGACGCAGTTACCCACAGGATCTGCCGAGCGCGCAATTCGCCGCCACCACAGTCCGCGGTCGAGCCGCATTCGTATTCTTACGGCCCCCCGTCAGCGCTTAATCGCAAGTCAGCACCATCGATGATCACGACAGCCTTGCACAAGTCTCGCTTGAGCGTGAAGTTGTCACCGACGACGTCTGCCCCGCCCGCGCCGACGAGCGGCTCGGAGCTGCATTCGTTGTCTGAAGGCATCGCCTTTGGATCAGGCTCAGGGAGTGCACCAGGCATGACCGACGACAGTGCCAGCAATGACAGCCTGTATGGCGAATCCCCAATGACGCCACCGACTACTCCACCAATGGGTGACATGAGCCCCAAACGGGACTCTGGGATGTGGAAGAAGCTCGGTCGGCTTAGTGGGATGAAAGTTGGGAAGCGGAAAAGCCAGGGCGCGTTGAGGGAGGAGTAACGACACTGATTTGGCTTTGCATGATTGACGTTTACAGGCGTTTGTGGCCCACAAGTGGCATGGGAACGTCAAGCATTTCCCGAGCATCTTCTAGCGCTTCATGGCGACGCGGTCAACAGCTGCGGCGGCGTTTGCTACGGCGGTGGGATATGATGGCCTTCAGCAGGCTAGTCACGGTCAAGCTAATGCGTTACGAAACGATCATAACGAGCATGGTCCGGCGTACTTAATTGCTTGTAACATAGTTAGTCACCACGAATCATGGCCATCATGGTTCCGCATAACATCGGTGCTCTACGTTCTGTATTCATACCTGTTACCATTTCTAGCAGACTAGGATGGTACATGTACCTACACCGCATGGACAATCTCTATTGAGCGTACTTGTGTTTACTGAGTGTTTGGCCTTCGCTTGAAGCAGTGATCGTTGCACATCCGCAATAGGACGAAACGATCGACGCTCCACGTAAGTGGCTCGGCCTCTGTCCCCGCAAGCCGTCGTCTGAACCGCTCGACAAGGTTAATGACGTGGAACAACCTTCTAGTGGCCTTGTGCCTTCACAGACCCACGGATATCGGTGACGAGTGTGAGGCTGGCTGGCATCGGCTCTCTCGTGCGAAGAGGGGCCGGCATGGTCACCACGCTTGTGTCAATGCGTTACTGTTAGTGGAGCTGGCAACGTTCGTGGTTCCAACGTGTGTCTTTCCCTGTCACTGACTGTGTATCACTGCGAACGACATTGGCTGCGTTATTAGACGACCTCTGCGATCAGCGGCACGATGGGTGAAAGACGAAGCGAAGAAAGCGACTCGCTCTCTGCACTAAAACCCAAGCCGTTAAACTTCTCGCGCCCGAAACCCACCAGCCTCAATTCGAAGGAGAAACTATACCATGACCGGACCGGTAGTTCGACAAACGTGCGAGGCATCGATGCATTTCACGAGTCAAATCGAAGTCTACCCCCCGAACCACGCTTCTCAATCGACTCGCAAACCCCATCGTCGCAATCCGACTCGTCTCCCGCTTCAGAGTTCGCATGGGACGGCCAGCTGGGCGAGCTACGGTCGCGACGAAGACCAACCGAATACGACGCCAACCAGCGCTACTCGCAAAACTCGTCGCGCAACGCGAGCAGTACCGCAACACTCGGCTCAGACGCACCCCTCCTCGCCGAACTGCCCGGCTCCGAAGCACCTCCGCCGCTACCCAACAAACTCCCCAAAATCGTGAAGCGCACGTCTGTGGACCAGTCCAGCGAGCACCTGCCCGAGCTACCCGGGTGGGAGGAGACGGCGAGCCACCATACGGTCAGTGTGGACGACGACACCGGTTACGTACCAGAAGGTAAATGGAGTAGTTCGGAGTTCGATGCCAGTTCGCTGAGTCCTGCAGAAGTCAAGAGATTGCGCAAGAAGGGCATCAACCCGGCGTTGTATGCGGAGATGAAGGCGGCGAGGAAGGGGAAAGGGAAGTGGGTGGGTCCACTGGTTGGGAATGGGTTTATCGGATGATGTACGTCAGCATATTTGGGTGGTGTTCGGGCGTTGAGTGGCATACCCTGTATTGTTACATGAGGTGACGGTTCGACGAATACATAAAGTTTGCAGCGGACGGTAACCGCTTTGTCGTTCAGCCTGGCGAGGTGCATAGCGGTCGCATCAAGCATTCTTTCAGCTAGTCAAGTCGTGGGCTGTTAGAGGCGCAGTGTCTGGCATTAATATCAAAAGTGTCAGGGAGAAGCGCCCGTCAATGGCAGTCAGCTGCATGATCGGACAATATCGATAGATGAAATATATGCGTCGCTCCGCTGATTATTCGCTCGACCTAATTACTCAGCCATCCCGCTAATGTCACATCATGTGCGCTCAACGCCAGCACCTACGCCTAGTTCGAAGGAACTACGAATGCGCAAGCTTCTTGCCCATCATGTCATCGACAAGATCGCTCCACAGCTGCTTCATGATGCTAGCTTGCTCCTCCACTGGAACTTGCAAGCGCCGGATGTTGGCGGCGACACGATCGGCCATGGCATGGAAGTCGACGTTCAGGGCGTGACCGTCAGACATGTCAGCCATGGGCAGATAGACGGCATCTGCGGACATGGCACTGATCATCGGCTTCATCACGACCTGACAATCGTTAGACATTGCGTCGGAGAGCACACGGTACCGGTTACTCACCGTCTCAACCTCTGGTGCGTGTGCGCCTGTCCGCGGTGGAGTCATGTTGGTCGGGATGATAGGCACGCGGATCTGGCCCAACTGGTCGGTGTTGTCCGGGTCGGCATCTGGGAAGTAGGCGAAGTCGATTGTGGAGGTGTCGTTGTTGGTTTTTAGGGTACGGCTGACGTTGAAGTGGCGGACGGCCTTCGGCGCGCCCTCAGCTTCAGCGGTTGGTCGTCTCGACTGCTCGATGGCAGTGCTGAATGCGCGGGAGTTGGCGAGCTCGTGAGCATTCAGGCGCGAGATGAGCTGGAAACTCGGGTCAACAAGTGCCTGGTTTGGTGAGATTGTACTCAAGTACGCACATCCGACTTCGAGCCGGCAACCTCGATCTTCCGCCTCTTGCACTCTGCACGCAGGCCGGCGATGTCGGTGGGAAGGTTGAGCACTGGGCGCTCCTTGGTGAGCACAGGCGAAGCATATGTTGCTGGGCCGGTCATGTGCAAGCTGCGAGTCTGTCTGCTGCCACGAGCCAAGTTCCTCAGGGCGACAAACTGCGTTGCTCTCGGTGCTGCCATTATGTGGTGTGGTGTGGTAGAAGGATGATCAGGAAACTGTGGTGGCGGTGATAGGTAGGTAGCAGGAGGAGCTCTCGACAAGCTTGGGAGACAAGAGGCGTATCAGGTGAGCGGGGGAGATGTGAGTACGCAGGAAGAATGTAACAGCAGCAGCACAAAGCACTTATCTCAGGGGGAAGCAGCAGCTTATCAGTGTCACTTGGGTTGCCAGCGAGGAGGTACGTGAAGCCATGTCCCTATCCGCCCACCACGGCAGGATGTTGAGAGCGTTTGCTGCGGTCCTTGCTCCCCCGAAAGAGTCGGTGAAGTTGAACCGTGCAGCAACCCAATGGAAGCCGCACGCTTGCGCCTCACCCGCTGCTCACTGCATCCCGCCGGCCAGCCTTCCGTAGACACCTTTCCCCGCAAATGCAAGGGATCGACGAGTGGTGTGACATGGACGAAGCATGCTGGCATCGTCAAAGTTCACCTCTGTATTACATCCAGCCGAGTATGCCGTGGGTGAGTTATGGATGCATGTGGGCAGCGAGAGAGGGACGGATGGCTTGACGATGGCCCGTCCTTTCAATGGCCCGCCCTCCGGTCCGCTCGGGGCGGTTACGCTATCATTCGGAAAGTGCTTGAATTAGAAACTGACAGGAATCCAAGCACACGACATTTTGGTCAGCGTGGGATGCTGAGGGAGAGACATAAAAGTTAGGCAGCAGTCCCTTAACGCTCGTCTGGCATCTACTTGAGTACTTGGTCAGCTGGCTTTGGATGTATGACTACTGTGCCGCACTTCTTCGCTTTCTGCCCATGTTTCAACCTTCGAGCAAGCAGCATTGGCTCGCTTCAGCACCCACCTTGTCCAATATGCAGCTAATGGGTGGGGAACCTTGAAGTCTGCATTAACCCACGTCTTGAGCCTGGGGGCGACTCTTGGGCTCGACCTCAGTGCAGTAGCCTTGATACACCGCCCTTATACTCGTTGTGGCTATATGCACCCTTTACGCTCGTGCCGAATGCCCGACGAGGTACACGTGGAGGTGATTCTACACAGCGGCTCACATGTGAGCGGGCAAAGTGGCCACTACGGTAGTAGCATTACCGTTTCCTAGAAGAGCGCCTTTGAGGCTACACTCAACAACCAGGCAGCATCCTGCCATCCGCCCCCGTCTGGCGCATCGTCAGTACGGGCCTCGATCTGAGAAGCTTCATGCTTGGGTTTTGGGTCTGCAACTCTCGGCTTCTCGACCGATCCTTCGTTGCCCTCATCCTCCGTGACCGTTTCCTGCACGCTGAACAGATTGAAGTTCATTAGCCGGTCAACAATGCCTCCCAACCCGTACGAGCGGCCTTCGGAGTAGCTCGCCACGTCCTTCTCCACTTCCTCGTCCGGTCCGTCACCAACCTCGTCTTCCTCATTGATGAAGTCTGCTTTCATCTGCACACCTTTGCTGAAGTAGTCAGAAGGGCCATCATAACCAATGGGCGCCCCGAGAGGCGTTCGCGTGCTGACGGGACTCTGCTGCCGGCTCGTTCTTCTACTGTTGGCTCGGCTGCCATATCTACTGCTCCACATCGGACTCTTAATACGTGACGCAGAAGGGTTAAGCTTCGTCTCCAGCCGTGCCTGACTGGCACTCAGCGCGGCCATCTCTTCATAGCCACCGTCATCCTCATCGTCATCGGAGTCGAGATGAGTCAGAGTCGTCGACGAGTCTCTCGAAGCCAGCCATGATTGCCCTTTCGCCTCCTGCAGTAACGCGTTGGTCGCTGCACTCGTGCGGGTAAGCCAGTCCTCGTCCGTATACTTCTTCGCTGCTCGTGGCGTGTTAGTACCCGTCACGCTTCGCCGATTGACCGGACGCTTCCGAATCGGCACACCTTGACCGGACAGTCTCTGCTGCACGAGCAGAGCTGCCTCGCTTTTCGCTTTGGGTATCTGTCCGCTCCCAACTTCTGCCCGGTCGCGACTGCCTGGTGTGGGTGCAGCATTGTACTGATACTGTACGTCGTTATCATACAGTGAACCTCGCCTGCTGAGTCCGGCCCCGAGGTTTCTTCGGCTGGAGCTTCTGCTGAGGATGCCTGGAGAAGTTGGTGCTGATTTGCCTTGTATGTACGAAGAGTGATGCCTCGAGAATGTTAGACCCTGTGCGTCTTCGTACGGACTCCTCGCCGACGTTTGCTTCTCTGGTGGCTCCTCGAATCGAGTCGTGAGCGGTGACGGCCGCAAGTCGGCTAGATTCGTGGTGGAGCGTTTGGAGCGGGAGGAAGAGCGTGGAATGTTGCCGCTTCTTGACTGCATGGCGAATGACCCGTCTCTCCCTTTCGTGCTTGTGACACGTCCTTCTTCTAAACGCACATCTCGTCAAGACGACGTGGCAATGCCGGGAAGTACACGAAGTGAGGAACAAGTGAGCAAACGACCACACCAAGGCAACCTCGACCGATCGTGGGGCCCCACAAGTCGGAACTCGGTACCGTGTGAAGCTTGCACTGACATGTGATAGTTCTATACACAAGACGACAGTCCAGGTCACGTACAGCATTCCAAGAGGGTAGCCTATCAACAGATATCGTCTAGCTTATGAGTAGCCAATCGGGTTGGGACCACAGACGTCACTGCCACCATCTCAGAGTAAGTGGATGTTTGTCCTCTGCTTAAACAATTAAGCAAAGCTACTCGCGACGTTTAAGGATAACGTTCAAACCCTCTTGCCTGACCGCCCACGAATTGTGCACGCGCCAATCCTTGTCCGGCTCCGCCAACCTCATGTCATACCGCATGACCAACGCTGGGACAAGCTTGGTAAGCTCGAGCATGGCAATGTGTCTCCCTAAGCATGTGCGCTTGCCAGCACCGAAAGATAGTATGTGCTGATCCATGTACTTCACCTTCTCTGTGTTCGGGTGGAGCCATCTACGCGGCTGCCAATCCGCAGCGTCGTCGCCGAATATACGCTTGTCACGCTGCAAGACCCATGGATTGATGCCGACAATGGTACCGGGGAGCAGATGCACGTCACCGATTTGGAGACCTGCGGCGGGCACGACTCGTTCGAGCGGGAGAGCCAGGGCGGGATTCAGTCGGATCGCTTCTTTGATCACTGCGCCTAGGTATGGTAGAGCTTGACATTCTGTCCACGTGCCCAACGGTGCAGATAGCTTCCCAGCATGTCGTGCGTCTTTCAGTTCGACTTGAAGTTCGGTCATTGACGATGGGTTCTTGAGCAGGTAGTAGAAGACCGCGCGTAGAGTCGAGCCTATGGTGTCACTGCCGGCATTGATGTTGATGAAGAGGTATGTTAACAGTTGTCGATCGGTAACAAGGTCAGGTTGCTCTTTCTGTAACACCAGATAGCGCGAAAGGAAGTCAGGCTTGTTTGGGGTCGTGCCATGCAGCACCTTCGCCCTCAGGGCAGGATCTCGGAATGTAGGGCCGTCTCCAGACTCGTCGTCATCTCCGCCTTTCAGTCTTTCCTGTAAGCGCCGTTGCCCGAAGCTGATGACGGGAGACGATACTGGTTTAGCGAAGAAGCGCAGGTAGATAGGGTTTTTGTACGTCAGGTAGTCGAGCCACGGCATTTGTCCCAAAACGGAACATCGGTCGAAGTTCGCTGCCACAGACGACACAATGTTCTCAACGTCTGTGCCCGACTCGAGAAAGCCGAGTCGCTTGGAGAAAGTTAGTTCGCCAATCACATCAAAGGCATAGTACTGCAGCCACTTTCCCAGATCACAGACAGATGCTGTGGATGCATACAATTCGTCCAACCTTGACAGGAAGACGGCAGTCGTGGAGTCGATCAGCGGCTCAAACTCAACGAGCGTTGATAATGAGAAGGCTGGCGCAATTGGCCGCTTCATAGCCGCATGCTGTGCCTCATCGGTCGTAAACACTAGAGAAGGAGTCCGTTTCCCATTGATAACGTTCTGCCAGACTGCATAAAAATCGGACTTGACGAAGCCCTTCTGGATGCCGTAAATGCTCTGGATCACGTCCGGCTTGCAAATACTGACGCAGTTCGGTCCGAGGCGGACTAGGTCACCGTACTTCTCGTGGAGCTTCACGTAGACGTCATGAGAATCTCGCCGCCAGACGACGATGAGTCGCCAGAGGTTCGTAAACTTGGCGAGTAGTGGTCCGGGAACGTCACGAACCCTTGCGTAAGTCCATGTCACTTGGTACACAACCAGTAGGAGGATTATGCTGCGAAGGAGAAGGGCAATAAAGGAGGTAGAGAACATGGTAGGGTGCTGTGAAGCGCAACATAAGCTCACCTTTACTCACAGCAAGGAGTCAATCACCCCGACTAGTAGCACCGAAGTCTACGAGCTATGCACGGCATCGCGTTTTGAGGGGTTGCGATGGATGTGGAGAGGGCGGAAAGGGAGAGCACATAAAGCTTCGGCGGCTTTCCGCAGATGCACCAGTGTGCCTTGGGCCACAAGGCATACATGCGTCAAAGCGCCCGCCGGCGAACAAGCCGCTGCCGGTGCTTTCACACAACATCCGAGTTCGACCAACACATCATCTTCTCACCCTGCCACGACTATCTAACGGCCAACTCGCCAGTGGAGCGACGACACAACACTGTAGATCTTGGCGAGATGAACACGCTGATTCATCACAATCCGCTGTCTGCTCCGCATCTCCTTGCTGAGGCAGCCACGAACCGCCTGACACCTTCCCGCTACGGTACGATCTGCCCATACCATGATCATGTATCCAGCAAACGTCGGCAGAATGCTGACTTCCACCTTCATTATACAGACTCCGTCCACGCTCCCAGCATGTCCGGCCGGAAACGGAAAGCTTCTGAAGAGCCGGACAATGACCGGATGTCCACATCGCCTGCCGCCTCGCCCTCTCTCTCTGCAAGGCTCCTACCTACTGCGACACCGTCTCGGAGCACGAAGCGGAGCAGGACCGGAGGGCCTATAGGGAGACCGCTGGCTCTGCCTCGCCTGCTTGAGACGCTATCGGCAGAGCAGATGCGGCAGCTGTTACAAACTGTGGCCGATCAGCATCCAGACCTGCAACAAGAGATTGTCACAAAAGCACCACGACCGTCAATAGACTCCACACTGTCAGTACTTGGCCGATATGAGAACGACTTCCGGCGGGCATTTCCGCTAGGCAACAGGCCTACATCGGAATACACGTATAACCGCGTGCGGCATCAGCTTCTGCAGCTCATGGAAGCGCTACGGGAGTATACGCCTCACTTCTTGCCACCACACGAAACACAAACGATCCTGTCGCTCAACTATCTTAACGAAGTAACGAACATGATCCACCGCCTACCAGATTGGGACAGCTTCCAGCATCAACGACCCAAGCAGGATGCGTACGATGAGATCAGCAAAGCGTGGGCGCTAGTAATTCGAGAAGCGAGCAAACGCGCGGGTGGTTTCCACTTGCAGTTCGGCGGATGGGACCAGAAGCTGGTGGAGCACAATCAGAAGAGTGGAGGGAGGTTAGAAGAGGCAGTGAACGAACTGCGGTCTGCTCTTGGGTTCATGCAAGCTGGTACGGCAACAACACCGGCTGGCGCAACAGAGGAGCGGGCAAGCATACGGCAGCATTTGTTCTCGGGCTCGTATGGGCAGGAAATGGGCGTTGGAGCGGGCCGGTGGTGAAGGAACGACGCATACGAAGTGGCATCCCGGAGTCGCTCAACATGAGCGTTGCGTAGAAAGCGTGGTGTTGGTGGAGTTTAGATGAAGTCTGGGTATTGGCGCGGCGTTCTATCTACACCTTTGGTACGCATGTCTACGAAGATAACGAATTGAGATTGTGACCTTTTTCCGTAGTCGCACGTGCAATGCTGACTTCACTCGCACCTTCCCCTCTGCACTTGTGGCGCTACGCCGGTCCGTTGATTCCGCTTCTCACCGTCACGCATATACTGAATGGTGCTACGTTTTCTTTGACACCGCCACCTACATAACTGGCTCAGAGTTGCAGCTCACTCCTAGGGCCGAGGAAGTCGCCATACTACTCGCGACCAGACCAGACGGCCGTCCTCACTGAGCTCCCTGGCACGGTGTGCACCGTCAACGTCGATGATCAGGATTTGCCAGAGTACAACGACGAAGACGCTACGCCGGAGCCGCACTCTACGACTAAGTACATTGAGGCGCAGTCAGATGTCTGCTTCTCAGTCGTCACCCGCGTTGACCGGGGCGTTTCCCCTATCCAAACAACACGATCAGGCTGCAGTTCTCCATGGATGGGCAATACATCGGTTATGTCTGCTATGATCCGCAACTATTCATCAACCACCCTCGCCAGGAAATACGCGCCCTCCGTCGGCCGCGCAACGGAACGGTTTCCAATACTACTTTCAGTTCTCCAAGTTACAACTCAATGAGTAACATGTAATAGGATGTGTAGCTGCGCGCTGATACTCTGTAGCTGAAGGACACGCGCACAAGACCCTGTTCGAGAAGCTCTGAGATCTGGGCACACTCGAGGTGAAGTATGATCGCATTCGCTGGGGCGCCCAACAAGCAGTCTCCGTGAGCGAATTACCAGCTCCGCTACTCACCAATGATACCGTTGCGGAGAAGTGCCTAAAAGGGAAGGCGATCTCGCACCAGGCAAGGCGCGTTTCGTCGACATATGCTCGTAGAGATGGTGGTGTTACTGACCCTAATGCTGTTCAGTCTCAGCAGCGAGAAGACTACGAAGTCGACCTACAGATCAGAGACTCGTCAGCGCATCCGGCTTGGAAGTGGCCCAATTGCCACGTTTCGCTTCAAGTACAGGTCTAGAGGTGGGACTGGCAGCCATTGAGCAGGCAGACCAAGACTGACGCGAAGTAAAGATGCGCTCCAGAGTCTCGGGACTCTACCGCGCACCCCGTCACCCGTCCCACTCGAAGATAGAGACATCGGTGACCTATCACCGGAAGATATGCGTGAGCTCCTGCGGCGGCAGAAGGTATGTCTGACGAAGCACTCACGTGGATCGCGGCTAATACTCGTGCTCAGGCGCAGAAGACGGCGGACTTACCCACTTTTGAGAAGGAACCCAACATCAAGAAAGAACCCACGATCAAGAAGGAGCTCAAGAGAGAGCGTGATGAAGATGTGGAAGATGACAACGACGACATCGAGGTTCTTGAACATCGCCTGAAGAAAGCCTGCCGCACGGCCGATGCCACCGTGATTGAGCTACTTGACGACTAGTGAAGTTGTAATTAAGGCTGATCAGGTCAGGTCCGATACGTGGGAGTGGGCCCGTGAGTGCGACGCCTGGCCACTTCGTGCGTCTCGTCGAGCGAAGCTGCCCACAGATAGCTATAGCATATAGCGCAGCTCTCCACATCCTTAGACCATGGAAAACGGTGGGTGCGAATACTGGAAGCCAAGAGTGACTGAAGTGTCGTCGCCACGACTTGTCAAAGATAGCTCCATCTACCACATAAAGCGCTGTACTTTGCCCGGCTCTTGCAGCCACGTAAAGCCTCTATACAAGAACATGTAGCCGGTCACGGCATTAATGAATAGCAGCCACACAGTCTCCAGCCACAGCCGGTGATCGTACTCTTCCCACAATGACGAGAAGGTCAGTTGTGCTTGGGTGCCTTCCTTGGCCTTTGAGCCCTTCGGTGGCGAGCGTAGTGGTACATGCATACGCCAGAAGATCCACGGCAGAATGAAGTACCTAGGCTCCACCAACGGCGCGGTGATCAGCTGCAGGGCTGTAGTCATAAGCCAGACGAGGGCGAACGAGGTGGTCGCCGAGTGCTGGCCATCTGGTAGAGGTAACGGCCGGCCTTCGCGAGAGTCGGAGCGCTGGAATGGGTAGTCAGCAGGAGGTCCGCCTCCTAGTGTTTGCAAGCACGCCCATGCGCATATGATATACACAGGCGTGACAGCGTAGCGTATCCACCATGGGTCCAGTAGGTAGCGGAATACGTAGAAGATGTAATGGCGGTTGTCCGCCCGAGTGAAAGGGTGAACCACAGTATTGCCGTATACGGTAAGGCAAGCCACGCCGAGACCGAGTCCCACCAGCCAGAGCCGTGGAAGCAGACGACGCCGCTTGAACGTTTGTGTTGATTCTAGGCTGGTAAAAGCCGGTAGCCAGGCAAGGAATGAGACCGGCATCAGCAGCAAGTAGGGGTAGAGGAGCGGCCAGGAGAAGAAGACAATGAAGGGCCAGATGTACAGCATTTGCGGTAGATGCAGCGCCGCAACATGGTTCGATTTGTCGCCCAGCACGACGCCGCCGTTGATGGAGACGAAAGCGGCGAACACGATGAGCAGCGCGAGAAAAGGTGCGAGCTTTACAACGACCCGGATAAGTCGTTTGGGATGTGTGACTAGCTTGGCGGTGCATGCTGTGATGGAGACGAGCGTCTTCACAAAATCTGAATAGCGTCAGTTGCAAGTGCAGCTTTCTGTTGCGAAAAGCAAATACAAACCGTCCATCTCGGCATCCTTCATCGGCGGATCGTAGACGACCTCCAACTTCCAGCTCGTCTTCGCAATGCTGTAAATATTGTCGCCAAACCCCTCCGTTCGGCAGTACATCGAATCCTTCACCGCCTGATGCCCACGATCAAGCTGCTGCACTAGAGTAAGGCCGGCCGGAAACACTGCGACCCAGAAGATGTTGGTCTGTCGGAACAGCAGGCTTGCAAGTCCAACCATGAAGAGTGCAAGAGAGCGAGCCCACGCGGAGGAGTCTGTATGGTGCAGGCCGGGAAGGAACAGGTAAGAAACCAATACAAAAGCAGCCGACCATATGTCTGTATAGTATAGCGCGGAGAAGAAGAACAATGGTGAGAAAAGCGCGATGTTCAATGCGGCGTGATCGAAAACGAAGCTGCGGCTGGCGACATCATCTCTCGTCCGCAAGGTGTAGGCTGCCCGGATAACAAGCACAAGCAGTATAAGTCCAAGAACATTGCCTGCCCGTAGTGTGCCCAAGCTGCAATTGAGGGCTGAAAGGCCATCGCCTAGACCCAGGGACGTTTGGAAGAAAGCCGCGGTCTTGGAAAAGCCGTAGGAGAGGTAGTAAAGCCCAGGCGGTGTGGTGATCTTGGGATCCCAGATGTCAAACCGACCATTGCAGTAGCTCTGCGCTTGACGGACATGGAAAACTTCGTCCTGCCGATGAATGAGAAAGGCAGCTCACTCACCTTGTGATGTCTCACTACCTACGAGGTATGGTTCCGGAACCGTCAGGTTGACTAGAGACGACCATGCTGAGAGTGGGGCGAGAAGGGCTGCTAGTGCTTTCGCCATGACCGCTACGGTGTGTGGTATGCTTGGGGAAAGGGGTGAGGCTCAGTTACGGCTGCGTGAGGTGCAGCTCCACTGGACGGCTCGTCAGCATGACGTCCGTTGCTGTGATTGGCTGTTGCTGAAGCGCGTTGACTTCGCGCGTCTCGCCCGTATAACACTGTCACGATGTGAATGTTGCGCCCTTAGCTGAAGCCCACATATCACAGCAATGCACAGTGATACGAGATGGCGCTTCCTTTGCCGCCAGGCCTTACACCGAACGAGGTCGGCTTCTTGTGCGAGATGGAACAGGTGACAGTCATACCTCGGCAGAGACTTGAAGGGCTCGAACTGCTTGGAGTGAGTTGGCCATAGCAACGGCTGCTGTGTATGCGACGTTGCCGTCCATGATTCCTTATGATACGAGACTCATGCTGTTGAAAGGGTCCTACGGCGCCACTGAAGCCGCCATTTCCAATATCATTACCCTTGTGGCTTGCGCTCTTGCTGAAGAGGCAGCGGCGAGCGAATATTAGCCCTCCACCGTGGCTGCAGGTCGACGCTTTGATGCAAATTTTGGACTTCGAGACGGACGAGCGAACGGCAGAGGTCTTTTCGCCTTCGCCTGTATTACCGCGGGCTCGCAGCGTTGCACCCCTCGACGACGATCCGTACCTCGCACATGACTCGCTTGAGCTCTCAGCACCTTTTGTAAAAGACGAGTCAACAGCCCGCGCACAAGCAGATGCCTTGCCGTATCACTGGCTAGAGCTCAGCTATTTGCTTCTTGCTCATGCGCCCGATGACTTCGAGGACCCGGACAGGGTTCGTAAACTGCTTCGCGATCTACGTGAAGTGCGCATGAGTAAGCTCCGAAAAGGATTCAGAGTGCTCAATACCGGTGCCGGCGTGAAAATGAACGGTGTTGGTGGCATGGAGGTAGCGGAAGTTCGAGGCTTCGTGAAAGGCATGGTTGATGGGTTAAGGTAGGCTTGATCGCGGAGACCCCCACCTGTGATTGCGCTGATATTGCTATGGCAGGAGGATCAACAGGTCTCGTGAGGAATCACGCAAAGAGCGCGAAGCGGAAGAGCGTGAGGATGGGCTGGGAAGCAGTAGCTACCGCTATGATGAAGACGAAGATATGCTGTAGATCAATCGCCACCTTCGCGTGCACACTGCTTGGTCCAGGTTCTTTGACACTGCTTGTCCGCGTGACCTGAGGTGCACGATACCAGCGGCGTCTAAGTTCACTTCACATGCGTTGATGGATCAACCTACTGCTGACCACCAGCATTCGCCACTCCGCTACCGGTTGTGCACCCATTGCTTCCATTCATTACGACCAACACCATAAAGGCTACCGTCATAGCGATATATCCATGGCTTTCACGACGTGGGCCTATTTCATCCTCGTCGCCGCTATCGTAGCGGTCAACCACAAGTATGCCAAACCCTACGAAGACCACAAGGCAGAGCGCGAGAAGCGCGATGCACGTACCAGAAAGCGCTACAAGGAGCGCTGGGCGCAGGAGAAGAAAGACTTTGAGAAAAGCGAGCGCAAACGTAAGGAGGCGAAGAGGAAGGCGCGGGCGGAGAGGGAGAGATTGGAGGAGCTCAGGCGGCGTGAGAGGAGGTGGATGTATGGACGGCCGCAGTGAGATTGGTCTCAAGGAAGCTTGGTGGAAGTATGTGCGGTCCGAGGAAACAGACGGATGTAATCACTGACGTGTTGGCAGCACCACTTGACGTTACGGAACAGTCCAGCACCAACCGTTAGCAACACGGTACGACCAGCACTGTTATATAACGAGGCACTAAGTGCAAGCGTCAACAGATTGAGGTTGAGATTACTAAGGCATGCAGCCTGGTGTTGCACGATGCGAGTCTAGGAATCAGCCCGATACCACCTGGCGCTGACCCGCGTTGAGTAGAACACCATCTCTGGTTATGCTCTTGTAATCCGTCTTTCTTACATAGTCTGAAGCCATACTCATACTCGCGCCTCAAGCGCTTCCGACGTGCTGCCCATAGTCGATACACCAATCGTGAGACCAACCTCCGGCCACGGCTTCTTAATTGCATCTTGGATCTTGACGATGCTTTTCTTCGGCCCGGGGACTGCACCATTGACCACCACTATGCCGTTCTCTTTGTCGACCTTTAAAACCTTCAGACACTGCACCGTATGCCCTTCCCCACCCATGCGTCCGGGCATATGCTTGCCCGGATGCACACGCGAGCCAGACCCTTGACTAGCACCTGCCGAACCCATGGCGCGATGTGTGAGCGAAGTACCGTGGGAAGCAGGCTGGCCTCCCCAACCCCACCGCTTCATGCCACCCGCGAAGCCCATACCCCGCGTAATACCTCGAGCATCGATGTACTGTCCTTCCTGGAAGAGATCTGCAGTGATGACACTACCAACTTCTGGTAGACCGTCTGCGTTCTTCACCCTGAACTCGGCAAGATGTCGCTTCAAAGGTACTCCTTGCGCCGCATAGTGACCTCTCTCCGGTCTCGTGACATTTCTGGCCTCCTTCGTCCCGCATCCTACCTGCACTGCCCAGTAGCCATGGATCTCGCGCCGTTTGTGGCTGATGACCTGACACCTATCGAGCTGAAGAACTGTACATGGCGTGCGCTTGGCCGTTACCGGGTCGTACATGGCGGTCATACCCTTCTTGATGACCAGTGCGCCAGTTCGGTGAGGCAGCATAGGCTCTCTACGCTCGAATGCTGCCTTCTTGGAGGAGCCAAGCACAGGTAGATCCGGGCCATTGTTGAAGCGATCCATTCTCGTCTTCTGCCGCGGCTGGATGCTCTTGATTGTTCGGATGAAGCTGCGAGGCACTGACGGGCATAGAAATTGGGGTGGTAGGCTAAAAAGCCTGCGTGAAGCTCTGGGCGGCATCTTAGCTGATGGTACAGTGTATCGCACGCGAAGTCTAAGTGCCAACGCTCCCAAACCAGGAGGCACGAGTTTGGGGGAGTCGGCGTGCCATCTCAATACCCCGATCACGACTTTTGGCACGGACCTGGAAACCAGCAAGCGACTCTGCAGCTCAATCAATATGTGAGCGGTCACCAAACACACGCGGAGACTTCTGCACGTTTCAGCTGTGCGGTAGCGATGCACTGTCTCAGCCCTATGTCGTATACTCCTAAGCGAGGTCCTGGACCCCTCGTTATTCGAGAGATCTCGAGGACCTCGCGGCTACCGCGGCTGGTTCCTCCGATGATGTGATCGCGGTCTCGAATGGCAAGTATTAAAGACTCAGTCAATTTGCCTTTTGCAGCGCTGCCTCTTTATAAGTTCTCCGTTGAAGTAGTAGTATAAGAACGCTGACCAGATTATAGAGCTACCCAATCGCTAAACGTATTACACTGCGGCTGATTCCCTTGGCGTGCTTCTACTGAGTCAACCGTGTCAAGTAGCTTCACCAGACTGATGGAACGACCTCCTTCATGGCTCTGAGTCTGCACCATCGCTACTGAAGTAGGGTTCGCATTCTTCGCCATGGCTAACGGAGTGCTTTCGGAAACCATTTGCTAGCTGCAGATGCTAGACGTCTCCCGTCGCAGAGTCCGACTCGGCAAGTGGGTGCAGTATCAGCATGTTCGCGCAAGCCTCAATCCAACGAATCTAGCTTTTGATATGTTACATTTGAGTTCCCAGCGTTCGTGCTGGTAGTCCCGCCCACTATTGTCGTAGATGCACACAGTGGCCTTGCACTACCATCGTCGAGCGCAACAGCGGATTGTATGGCACGCTTCCCGGCTAGCAGGAAGTGTCAGATCGTAATCTGGATTAACATTGGTCGGTTCAAGGCGGCATATGGCGCCCGACAGCTCTGTCGTTGCGTTGGCGATCTGTCGAAGTGGGAAAGGCGGCACTGCCCGGCCACTGATGCTCGTTGTTTCGAACAGCCGCTTCGCCTGGATTGCAGATGAATTGACGGAATAATAGCCATCAGTCAGTCTAGCATGTGGTCTTCGTGGGTCAAGCAATTTGGTTGCGGTTGAAGGAGTATGACCTTCAGTAACCCTAACTGCTACTGCGGATCAGCTTCCCAGCGTCCTTGTCTATGCACTGTCTACGTTGGCAGCCGCTTGGTATTAGCCACTACTGGAGCGAGTAAGCTCATCTCGGTGTCACTAGGGCGCAGAAGCAATCTGCGGGCCCGGTATGATAGGCCTGACATCGTTCGATGTTGACCTGTTTATGGTGACCTCGAATACGAGTGGACACCTACACTGCGAATTTGTTAGAGATCTTCCTGGCGCCGCGGTACGTCCCAGGTACCGTAACAATTCGTCATGTCCTTTTTGCGACCATTGTTGCACGACCCGTAGCCATGAGGCTGTGCGCCTAATTTGCAGCTGCATAAGGCCCCTCAGTGAACATCACCCCTCTATTAGCAAAGCATTGCGCGGATGTCAGCACCGCTGGTCACACCAGACAAGAGTGATGCACCTCTGCTCCAGACGGACTGTCACACGCAGCGAGCAGGACTCACGCTCGGCTATAAATCTACATGTAGAAGCTGAGCGAGATCAACTCGGACCCAACATACTGGGTCCCGCGGCCGTTGATGCAGCAGAAACGGTACGGCTACGGTACGGTCGCCGGACGGAGAGGTCCGTCTTTGCGACCGGCTGATACCGAGTAGCGCCGAGCTTATTAACGGTGGCCCTCACTTCCGGAGAGGCGCAAGCCCCCATATTGCTGCAATAGGCAAGCCAGCAATTAATGCAAGGCCATGTAAAACAAGCGTCAGGAGAACCAAAAACCTCCAGCTTGCATGACACTGTTGAACTCAATATTGCGTTGCTCGACAAGGCTCCACGCAGGCAAATAATGGTGCGCGGCATGCATGTAATCTATCGATGCACCTAGCGATCTTGGGCAAGCTGGAGATCTCAGTGGATCTTACAGGCTTGTGAAGGGAGGGTCGTCGTTATCATCTATCTGTACCTGTGGACGTGCCGCATGGCCAACCCTATAAACGTAAGGTCTGACAATCCTAGCGTACGGGCCCTAAGCTCCATAGCAGCTTCACAGATCCCCTTACAATTTCAGCTAAAGGCACAACAGCGGGTCGCTTCGCGAGTGATTCCCCCGCTTGATCAGCACGCCGGACAGCACGGCACGTTCTGCCAGCGGGCGGGTACAGACCTTCTTCTAACTTGCCTTGTGTCAGATGCCTGCAGCAGGAGCAATAAGGCATGATGACAGCGGCGGTGTCTACGGCAATCTATTGGGTGCTTTTATCCGCTGCCTTAGACGCTGCAGCAAGTCATCACATGGTCTGCGAAGCGCCTTGATGGCGAGGCGAGTGGTCAATGGCCTTTGGCGCTTGGACACGCCCACTTGACGGCGCGCTATCCGTGCCCGGGGGGAATGCATCTCTGCGCTAATGCTGCGGCTGCGTGCCCAAGCGCGCTCCAAGTCGCTCCAACACCTACATATGACATGCACGCACCAACCGACCCTTACAGTCCAGTCCTCCTCTGCTTTCGCGAGCCTGCTCAGCTCTCCGTGTTGTTGTCATCGTTCTCGTAACGTGTATATACTGCGCGTGCTGTTGTGCTGCTAAGGCATTGCATTGCGTCGCTTCGCGAATGCGATTGCTCGATTGATGCAGGCTCGACAACCGTGTCGCCTTGCTAGCGAGCCAGCCGCCGCGCTGCACCTTCTGGAATACACTTTCCGGCTCAAACTACACTAGCAGCGCTGTCCGGATGAAGCATCAATAGAACATTCTGTTCATGTCTGACACGGCTGTTTAACTGCGTACTCGACATCAACGAGCAAACAAAACGACATAGATAGCCGCACTAAGCGCCACAGCCGCGTAAGGAAGTACAGTCTCGACAGCATTCCTCTGTGCTCCTGAGGCGTATCACCGCATCGCTATCGGGCTGGCTGTCGGCAAACAGCGAGCGCTTGTGGCCGGATTCGACACTTGACTTTGGGTAACGGACCATATCGGGGCGATTGTGCGCCTACGCTATGAGCGTCATATCAGATGCACCCACTACCACTCCCACCAGAACCGGTGCTTTACGCACCTGCGAGGAGCAGCTGTCCCGCTTAAACCAACAGCTATCAGCTGGCTTCACTGCGGTCAATGGATATCGCCACAAGGCTCCACCAACCTCCCGGTCCGATCCCTCAGCGCAAGATGCCCGACCCTCTGACCAGACCACGTCCGCCGAGCCGCCCATCGACACTCCCAGCGCAACCCAAGAGACCGAGCCGCTGAAGCTTGGCTATTCCAACGATGGCACTCCTGCCTTGAAGGTCCTCGCGCATGGCTGGCGAAGTGATCTCAGAACCTCCTTCCCACCTCAGGACAGTACCGCCACCGAAGCAGAGAAGCGCAAGCGGTCCGACTCAACGCTTGCTGACGATAGTCGCGGGAGCCGCCATTCTCAGAGCAATGGTGACGGCCCGTCGTCGCCTAAGCGACGTATGACCAACATAGATTCTGCCATTGATTTGACATCACCTGACCAGCAAACGCAAGTTCCACGCGCATTCTCAACTGATCGCTGCCTCTCGGAAGTTAGGCGAGTAGCTACCACCTCACGGTGTGCAGAGACTACGCCCATATGTGTGACACCTTGCTGACTCACTACAGTGAACCTTCGCCAGCACAAAGGCATGTCCGCGGCCGGCCGGTCCCGCCGCCGCGTCCAGAAGTCGAGCAGGTCCAGGAAGAGTCCCTCAGGAGGTTTCTGCGTGTGGAAGAGGAAGCTCAGCAGCGAGCCAAGGCGCAAGCTGATGCTGATGCCGAAGCTGCTGCTGCTCAGAAGCGTGCGCAAGTCGAAGCCGAAGCGCAGATGAGAGACGAGGCGAAGCCGAGGCATCATTCTCCTCCCGATGAAGAGGACGACCCGATGACGCCGCCGGAGCATGCACAGAATTATCAGCAGCATGGCTATAGTCCGGAGCGCAACGAGCAGGACTATGATGCCAAGCGCCGAAAGCGTAACTTTAGTAACCGCACCAAGACTGGATGCCATACTTGCCGGAGGCGGAAGAAGAAGTGCGACGAGGTATGTGAACGTTCTGGACGTAGCACTCTGCCAGAGGACTGACAGCGAGCAGGCTAAACCAACGTGCGCGAACTGTGAACGCAGTGGTCACTCATGTGAAGGCTACGGTCCAAAACCATTAGCCGGGTCTAAAGTGCAATCCGCCGCAAAAACACCGGTGGCGTTGCAGGCGAAGGGTACCACCTTCGAAGGCGTGCCACAGCAAGTACCCACACCGTACGTCCAACAAGTCCCAGTGCCGGAATCGGCGCCTTCGTATTCGCATTGGGGTCGTATTCCTAGCAAGGAGGAAGAGGCGAACATGCACCACCATCACCCCCTGCCACCTCCACAGTACCCACGGTACACGTCGCACGAAGATTCGCACGCGGGTCATTACGGCAGACCAAGTGTACCTAGAGATCCACTACCTCCGTACAGCAATGAGCCGCGTTACCCACCAATGGAGTATTCTGCGATGCAGCCGATGCACCCCATGTACGCGCACTCTCACCCTTCTCACCATCCGCAGCCGCCGCTACTTCCACCACCATCATCATATGGGCCACCACCACCGCTTCTTGAACCGATCCCAGGCGACCCATACCGCCATTCCATGATCCCCTCCGCCCCCGTCAGCTCTCACGACAGCAACAGTCACTCCTCTACCTCCTCCCTTCGCACAGCTGCGTTAGCCCTCGCTCGACGGGACAAGTACAGACTCAGCGAAAAGGAGAAGATGCTCCTTGGCGAGCCATTTTTAGCCTACGTCGACCGCGACCTTGTCAGCGATCGCAAAGAATGCAAAGCCGCGGTTGAACGCTACAACGACGCCGCCAAAGCTAGCTTGGGCTCAGGCCACGGCGATCGCGCACGCCTCTTCAACCATATCGTCGACCCTACTGCGCGGCCGGAAGAACGCAGCCGCAGAAGACATCCAGATGACCCTTATAATGGCCCCAAGGGTTCAGCAGGGGAAGGCACGGCGGTAGAGACGCCGTTCATATGTGACTATGGGTACAATATCCACCTTGGCAACAAGGTGCACATACATTCCGGGTGTATTATGTCGGATCCCTGTCGAATCACCATTGGGGATCGCACGGTCATTGGGCCTAATGTGCGATTCAGAGGCGTTACGGCGAGTTTGGACATCAAGGCTAGGAAGGGGAACAACAGTTGTCTGCTTGGCGGACCCATCGACATTGGCGAGGATTGTGTGATTGGAAGTGATGTTGTCATCCTGCCGTTTCGCACGATTGGCAATGGTGCGGTGGTTGGGGCGGGGAGCGTGGTGACCAAGGTGGGTCTGTCGATTGAGTTGATGAGGGGTGGTAGGTGCTGACATTGGAGTTGCTAGGATGTGAAGCCTAACACGATTGTGGCCGGCAACCCAGCCAAAGTCATCCGGCGGATAGAGCCAGGTACGACAAATGTTGACAGGCATCTAGATCCCGATATCGAGGAGCAGAATCAACGCAGGCTTACGAAATTGCGGGATGATGCAATGGCCATTGCTGATCGATGAGGACCATGAGACGGATGTAGTGGGTGAAGCAATCGTTGCACCGGTGTTTGTCAAGACCGCTGTTCGGCAGTGGAAGCTTGATATTAAGATGGTCTGCCGATGTTATCGCTGGTGGCGGAAAGTATCCCAGCTTAGCAGCGCGAAAGCGACAATGACAACGCCGCCCCCAACGTATGTGGGGAAGGATGGTGTGAGACCGAAGAGTATCCAGTCCGCTAGGGCGACGAAGAAGACGCTGAGAACGTTGGCGAAGCTCCCGAAGACTGGATCGGTCCAGACTACGAGTACTGCAAGTAGGTTAATGGACACTGTGGATGTTGTTAGTGACATCTTCGTAAGCGGCCCGCGCGCCCTCCCAAACGCCTGCCTGAGGGCGACAATGTTGCAGCGGCCATGGGAGTACATGACAGTGTTGGTGGAGTGACAGGGGACGGATCACTGTTGACTTACTTGAACCGGACAACACAGCGATGACAATCCACAGCCACACCTCCGCTCGCGGCCAAACGAACGTCTCAATGCCGAAGATGTGCAGCAACACAAGTCCAACCCATAGTGTAGCAAAGGTGTACAAGCCCAGGAGACCGCTCGCTGCCAGCGTTAGTGGCATGCTTTGCTGCGGACTCACTGGACGAGAAGAGCATGCCCACTTCTTGAAGAGGACTTCGTACAAACCGAACGCTAGAGCGCCGACACAAGCGATCAGATTGCCTAGAAGCCTTGACGTGCCGACCTCGTTGCCAGCACTGTCTTCCTTGAGCGGGTGTTCGGCCGTCGTGTCACCGTAGGCTATAATGAATGTTCCAACGATTGAGAGCGCGACGGCAACTACACTATACCTTCCCAACTTCTCCTTCAAGAGTGGTACACTGAAGGCGGCCGCGAAGAAAGTTGAGCAATTGTAAATCGCGGTCAAGTCCGCTGGAGTGGTTAGCGTGAGGCCGAGGAACCAGGCGACGCCGCTGACCGTTAAGGCGAGCGTAACTATAGCCATGGCCGTGGCGAGAAAGTCGAGTGGTCCTCCCAGTTGGCCACGCAGTTTCCAAATCATGCGAGGTCCGTCGGTAGTGTAGGCATCAATGGTACTGATTGCCTCACGGAGACGGTTGTTGTAATCCTTCGCCCAGAGAACGTAAGGACTGTGGCGGTTCTGGTAGCGGAGGTAGAGAACTGCGAGTAGGGTGCGTTAGTGTCAAGATTGCGTCGACGCTACGGCGTGCATCTGATGTGGAATGTTCGTCACAATTCCATTGCATTTGCTACAGGCAGCGGTAGTACAATAGGAAGCGTTTGCAGCAATTGTCAACTTGGTAGTGCCGTGGATACTAAAAGGACATGTGGCGCAGCTATCGGGACTCAGGGTGGCGATCGGTAGAGGGATAAAACCAGATGAACGGTTGGAAGCGATGGGGATAAGGCGACATACTCTAGCAGCCGTCAGCAACCCGTCAAGCGCACCCTCTCGGCCCGTGGGTAAACATACGTGACACAACCATGGCAAGGCCAGCGCGCTATGCGTGATATACAAGGTAGCAAACGGCTTCTTCCAGCCCAGCAGGCTTTCGAAATACTCGGTCGCCTCTGTGTTGATAACGAAGCCGAGGACGGTGAACAGCAGAGCGAGGCCTACAAGTAGGGGAGATGCCTTCGTCTGAGATGGCAGACGGTAGTGTTGGGCTGCGATGCGCTCGCCATTCAGCGTCTCGGCACCACCAAGCTGGGACAGCTCGACGTCGGGGTTGCGGTCGTCATCGCTGTCGGTACGGTCGAGGAAACGTTGGGCTTGTTCGTGAAGTTGGTGCGAGGGCCCCATAGCAGGTGGTCGTAGGCGTTGCTGAAGCGTCTAATTCATAGCACCGATCACAATCATTCTCGACGGCCAGATGAAAACTCGTTCGTATCCATTTTCATGCCGTAGCGGAGAGAGCATCAACACAGGTTCTCGTTGCAGTGGACCAGAGGATTTCGTCCTGATAAGGCACCAAGGCAACATCAACTCGCCCAGAGGTCAGATGCCGAGCAATCTCCGTTGTATCTCCGTTACACTTGCGACCAGAAAATGTTGGAGTAGAAGGCTTCGTTGCTGCAAGCAACATCGAATTGGTACAACCACCCCCATATCATGAACGGCTCGATGGAGCTGTTCAACGCCCTCCAAACATCCCCTCATAACTTCCTCCAACCCTCCCTGCCGCTCTACACGGACACTGTCGCCTATCTCAAGAATGTGCTCGACCCAGTCGCTGCAGACGTGAGCGCAGCGCAGCAGCAGCGACAGCTCGAGGCGCGCAAGAAGCGCAAGCGCGGCGATCATATATCAGATGATGAAGTCCTAAGGTTGAAGCAAATTCACACGCAAGGATTTACAGCAGAGCAAGTATGGGAACAGGCGAGGCGGGTGATTGATGGTGCGCGGAGGGAGGCCGAGCGAGGGCTTGCAAAGGTTAGGGAGCGGGGGGTGCAGGTTGATGAGACCCAGGTTGGATTGGAAGACTCGTCTGGGCAGGATGAGGATTTAGGTGTTGAGGGAGTTGACTACGAGATTGAGGGTGTCGATGAAGGCGAGGAAGAGTACGAAGGTGAGTCGGAGGATCTGGAGGCCGCTCTTGATGGCGCGGAAGCTGCGGACATGGATGATTACGTATCAGAAGGCGAAGATATTGAGATGGACGGAGAAGATGGCTTCGATGATGGTAAGGACCTTGCCAACGAAGGTCCAGCAGAGGAGTACGTCTCCGACAAGTTCGGCCTGAACGACGGCTTCTTCTCCATCGACGACTTTAACAAGCGTTCCGACTTCTTAGAGCAGCAGGACGTGCGTGGGGACGACGACGCCGCAGCCAGCGATGAGGAGGATGTGGACTGGGATGCTGATCCGCTCGGCTCAGCGGCCATTGCAGATGGCGATAGCATTGACGGAACTGATGATGCGGACGAAGAAGACGGCCCTACCTTTGGTGACCCGGATGCGCTGAGCGAAGATGAGGACGAGGATGGATTGGATGTAGGAGAGATGGACGCCATAGGCAGCGGGCTCGGCAACACGAACGCCATCATGTACGCCGACTTCTTCGCCCCGCCCGCGCAGAAGAAACGGAAGAATAAAAAAGGCCGGCCGAATCCGCATAACTTCCCAGCTCAGGCTCCCGCTATTGTCGCCGCCGACAATGACGACGTCGAGCGCACAATATCAGCCGTGCACCGTGATCTCTTCGAAGACGACCAATCCGACGCCGGTGAAGACGCGGAGGATGCACCACCAGGATTGAATGGCCTGGACCCATCGGATCCCAAAGCAAGACGCTCAACTCACGAACGCCGCCGTCTAGCCCTTGCAGAGGAAATACGCAAACTCGAAGCCGCCAATGTCGCTAAGCGAGAGTGGACACTCTCTGGTGAAGCGCGCGCGGCGGATAGGCCGTTGAACTCCCTGTTAGAAGAAGATCTGGAGTTCGAACGCGCGGGCAAGCCTGTCCCTGTCATTACGGCGGAGGTAAGTGAGAGCATCGAAGACCTCATTAAGCGGCGGATCCTGGCGTTCGACTTCCAGGACTTGATACGAAGACGGCCGGACGATATGGCTACTGGTGTGAAGAGGGGACGTATGGAGACGGAGTTAGACGATACGAACAGGAACCGGAAAGGTCTGGCTGAAGAATATGAAGAAGAGCACCTTCGCCGCACGGACCCTGCGTATGTCTCCGCGAGCGACGAGAAGACGAAGAAAGAAGAACTGGAGATTTTGGCATTGTGGAACAAGGTGAGGAGTGCTCTGGACAGTCTGAGCTCGTGGCATTTCAGACCTAAGGCTCCGGCTCCGAACTTGGAGGTTCGTGTAGATGCACCGGTTGTGAGGATGGAAGACGCGCGGCCTAGTGCTGGTGGCAATGCGGTGGAGGTGTCGCAGTTGGCGCCGCAGGAGGTGTATAGAGCGGGCGAGGCGGTGGATGGGAAAGCGGAGGTTGTGCAGGGCGGAAAGGGCAAGGGTGGCGTTGTGGTGGCGAGGGAAGAGATGACCGCCGATGAGAGGAAACGAAGACGCAGGAGGGAGAAGGAGAGGATCAGGAAGGCGGGAGGAGCTGCGCCTGTAGCTGGTAAGGCGGACGGTGCAAAGAAAGGCAAGGGTGAGATGGTGAAGGAGTTGAAGAGGGGTGGGGTTAAGATCATTGGAAGGAAGGGAGACGTTGTCGATGTGGAAGGACGGAAGACGGGAGGGGGTGGGCAGCCAGTGGGTGGTGGGAGGTTTAAGCTGTAAGGTTTATGCCGTTGCTGCTGTAGCAAATGTGTCTGCAGGTCGCCGGGCCGACTACTAATGGAAGCATCGTTTGCGCTGTCCAACCATCTCCCAAGCGTAGAGTCAATGCAGGTCCGGCATGGGTCGCTGTAGTCGTCTACATGGAAAGAAGCATGGTCGATCCCCAATTCTGAAGGCTATCCTTGTGAAATAAAGTGATGCGAGTGACGGTCGGAAAGTCGATGTGAGCCAGCCTTCGCGAGCCACGTCAATATCGTAAACGAACCTCTTAAGCGCTCTGGGTGCACCGACTATACGCTCCAGGTCTGCGGTGTTCAAGCGGCACTCTCTCACATCAAGCTGTGTGAAAGTCGAGACGGAACAGCAGGTAAGCTGGCAAGATCCGGGCCGCGTGCGTTGTTGGTGCTGGCAAAGTGGAGTAGGTTGGATGTTCAGAGGCGAAGGCAGCAGGGAGAGGTGCGCGGTGGGGAGGTGTAGATGTGAGTGCATACTCGGTCATGAACGCAAGCGAGGTAAGCTTCAGTAACACAGGACTGAGATCGTACGGCGCGAGCTATACGCGACAGAACGTTCCGCAACCGCAGTCATCCAAGTCTAGCTGCAGCGACTTCAACTTCGAAGTATGCTTAGCAACATGCAGGCAATGTCCTCTTCTGGCTGTTGTCCGGCGCACTCGAGGTGCCATAGTGCGGACATCCCAGGTCGACCGCTAAGAGAGAGGGTGGTTGCCTGGAGCTCCTCGCTGCTGCGCGAGAGCCGACTGGTCAGTAAACCTATCGACTCCTGTGTCCCACCTTCCCGAAACTGACAGTCGCTGAACCTGTTCCGCAGGGCGAGGCTTCTACGCAGGGATTTCGAGCAAGGAGCACAGGCAGATGTTGTCGATGCCATCAGAATATCAAAAATCAAGGGTGTTTGTAGAGTCGCGGCTGGGCCAGATGGTAGCACGTTCTGAACCACAGGCCGAACTGTGCCGATATTGACACCGGGGCGACGAAGCTAAAGATCAGAGACAGGAGCTCTGGAGGCAGAGAGGGAGGCATGTTGTGTGAATTGTATGGCGTCCACAAAAACCAACTTGCATTCTGAACTTGTTAGGGGAGCCCAGGTAGCATGTCCGTATTCTTAAGAAGGCGGAAAAGGAGAGTATTACAGATGGAGCTCTTGAACTGTGGTAAGAAAGGCGACCGATCCCAAGCATATGGTACATGGTTCCAGGTGCTCAACGAGCTATCGCAATCGCACGAGTGTATATCTCAACGGGATGGATGTTAACGGTCGGATTTGACGGGTCCTTGTCAGCAGTCTCTTGCATTGGTACTTCACGAGGCAGCAAGAGCAAAGCGGTCACGTGCAGCGCTGAAGCTGGAGCTAAGGTAGACTTCGATGTTGACGAAACGGGCAAAGCTCGATGGATCGCGGTCCCGAGATGTGCCGACAGCGGCACAGGGTGGATTTCTAATCGCTCCATCACTGCCAGACCTTCCTCTCAACACCCGCTACCGTACACCGATCACTACATCCCGTATAGACGAACACATCGCGCATTCGGCGTCATCAGACGATACACGGCAGGTGCGCACGCCATTGGCCCACGCGAGGCAACAATAAGGGCGGGCAGCCAACAAAGAAAATCTCCGCCACGCCGCGCCCCTCACTGCCCGCCATCCGCCCCCTCGATCGCATCATCGCCGCCGCCCGCCCACCATGTCGTACCAAGCCCGCCGCGCCCCGAACGTGAGCGCGTACCTCGCCAACCTCAACACCATCCCCACCGCCAATGAGCTGGCGGCGCAGAATGACACACTCGTGCTTGGCGCCGATCTTGGACTCGAAGACTTTGCCAATACCGAGTTCTTCGACTTTGATCAGTTCAATCCCATAGACGGCGACTTTGCAGCGCAGACTCTACCGGAAGCGGCGCAGCAGCAGCAGCAACCGCAGCAGCAACAACCGCTGCCTTCGCCGCAGAAAGCGGGTAGCAATGGCGGTGCCAGCGGGAACGCCGGCATGGCAGCGGGTATGGGTGGTACGCTCGATTCCGTCACCAGTATCCTTACCTGTATACTAAAGTGACATGCAGGCTACATGACCGAATTTCAAACCTACCCGACCCCAACCACGGCCAGCACTTCCACGACCAATACTCTTCCCTCGCCCACGCTGCTCCAGGGCGCCTACCCACCCCAACCCTACCATCACCAGCGTCCCTCTACCGGCGTCTCCTCCTTACCTTCCGCAGCAGATCTTGAGGAAGCCGCCCGTATGGCCGCAGAAGAGGACAAAAGGCGCCGAAACACGGCTGCCTCCGCGAGATTCCGTGTAAAGAAGAAGGCGCGTGAAGCGCAGCTAGAGAAGCAGGCTAAGGAAATGACGGACAAGGTGACGGCGTTGGAGAGCAAGGTGCAGGCGTTGGAGATGGAGAACCGATGGCTGAAAGGCTTGATTGTAGAGAAGGCGGGTGGGAAGGGATTATTGGAGAGGGAGACGGGGAGGGCCAAGGTAGCGAAGGCGGAGGAAGATAAGACGAGTAGTGAAGAAAGAACGGACGGTGTCGGTACGGGAGGAGAGGTCGAGGCTTGATGGTAGCGGATGGCTTTTTGAAAGGGTTTGATGGTGCACTGCGATACCTGGGAAAAGCGGTTCTTTAATTCCCCGCGGTTGGTGGAACTTGATTCGAGCTGCGCACTATTCCAGCTTACAGCTAAGCTGATGGAAAAGAGATACAATGAATATATGACGCAATCCAGTGTTCAAGCTTCACCTGCATCCCGAGTTGCACAGATGCCTGCTGATGTGCCACAGAAGGAAGCCCTTGCAGGAGTGTACTACCGTGAGATCCTGGCAACCTCACCAATTGATCGCATTGACCAGGACCTGGCCGTAGCATAAGAGCGCGTGAGACGCCGCGCTCGGAATGGATCTGCTAGAGACCATGGCCGGCTCAGAACAAGCCTGAACCAACGCGACTGATCAATTTCTTCCATCTCCGAAGCATCCTGACGCGAAAAGGTCTTGTGTTGGCCACCATCTTGAAAGCTTTGACCATGGACGACACAGATACGGACACCGCCTACATTGACATCGTCCCGGCTGAAAGACCACGACCAGCACGGCCTCTTGAACAGAACGCCTCTCTCGCCGGCCTTCGTGACGCCCTTCAACATGAACGCGGACGCCAAGCCGTCTTCACCTGCGGCGGTTGCATTCCCATTGTGCTTGACCCGAATCGAATGGGTGATGGCATCGGGGCGGGATGCCTCACGCCGCAAACTGACGAGAAGGTGCAGGCGCAGAGCACCATGGCGAAAGGTGTTACTATCCGTTGGGGACAGCATGGGGAGGGGAGGGTCGTTACGCTGCCCTGCCGTCCTTCGGTTTCAGGCAGCTCCGAAGGCACGGCAGCGCTACCACAGCTTATTGCGGACTGCACCCCTGCAACCTTTGGTCATGACGGTAAAGATGTCTACGATCCGTCTTACCGACTTGCCGGCGCCATGTCTGCCCAGGACTTCACGACCGACTTCTGCCCGTACGAGACAGGCATCATCGATATGATCACCCAAATCCTCGTCCCACCTATCTCTGGCGATCTCCAATCGACAGTCTCCGGGCCAAGCCGAGAAGAGCTCGATCTGCAAGCATCCCTTGACTTCAGTATAGGCATGCTACCAGACCCCGTCAGCCCGGACGTTCTCTTCTATCAGCTCAGGAGGATGAAAGTCCCGCCGCGAGATAGAGAGGACTACGAGAGTATCATCAGCTTCGCTGACCCAGAGCGATCGGGGAGGGTGACCTTTGAAGGCGTGAGGAGTCTACTGGAGGAAAGACTGAGAGCTAAGCGTGGGTTGAAGCATCCTGCAGAGGTGGAGTGGGAGAAGAAAGAGACAAAGACGAAGATGAGATGGAGGGGATTACGTGCGGAGTTGTACAAGCTTAATGTGTACTCGGGGCCATCCGGTATGTTCAAAAGTCATGTCGACACGCCGAGAGGAGAGAAGCAGGTGGGCAGTCTGGTTGTCTGCCTGCCAGTCGCGTTCCAGGGTGGCGGTCTGGCAGTGAGGCACGGAGGGCAGCAGATCGTCCATGAGTGGTCCACATTCATGACGGATGAGGCGGCGTCCTGTGTGCAATGGGCAGCTTTCTACAGCGACTGCGAGCACGAGGTCCTTCCTGTCATCGAAGGGCATAGGGTAACGCTGACCTACAACCTGTACCTCGCTCATGGCACGGGATTGTTGGCTCAGGGTGAATGGGGCATTGGCGGACTGCAACCAGCTCAGCTTCCGCTAAGCCAGCATCTCCGCGATCTCCTGCTCGCGAAGCCTGTGTTGATGCCCAATGGAGGGTATCTGGGCTTCGATCTCACGCACCTATATCCGCATACACATCCGTCTCTGCATGCTTTCGTACCGCAGATGCTCAAGGGCGCCGATTTGGCTGTCTACGAAGCAGTGCAAGCCGCTGGACTGACCTGCGTGCTTGGTGGGTGCAGAAACGACCACCATTTCGAGCAGATAGATATACTGGACAAGCTCGATGCGCAGGACAGAAGACGACGTCGCAACGAGGTCACGGGTTGGGGCCGTGAGGCGATGGTTAATGCTCTCACCCCACTTCGAGTGGATGACAGTGGCGACTATCACGAGCAGGAGGGTGTGTATTCAGACGAGGACGTAGCCATGCGGGATGACGTTGAGCTTGATGCGGAAAGAGTGCCATTGGAGGAAAGCTTCGATGAGGTCGAAGTTAGTAAGGTCAAGGATCTCCGGGCGAGGGTTGCGATCAGGGAAAGGATAACATGGGTCAATGTCTCGGGGCATGATGCAGCGAAGGAGTTGAGCTTCGCGGGTTTGGCGGTAAGCCCGTGTTGCGAGCAGATTATATCGACATAGCTATAGGCACTGACGTTTGGCTCATAGTACGGCAACCAGGCTGAGTTGAAGGTGAGGTACTCAAATGTTGCGCTCGTTGCGAAGGTACCCAATGCTGCTGAGAGAGGCTTGAAGGTGGTTTAGGGAGGGATGGTAATGGACCGGTATGACGACCTTCAACAGACTGGTAAAGGTGGCATTGCACGCGTCTTCGAAAAAGTCATGATGGAAAACTGTCGCTCGCCTCCCGCCACGGCGAGATGCTTGACAGATCGCAACAACCCTCGTGTGCTAGCAATCGCACGCTAGTATAAGGACATTGGTTATGCACTCTACTTGATCGCGCTTAATACTAGCACAACGGTCGCCTGTATTACGGCCTTCGGCTCTGGTCTCTAGCCTCTGGTTAAGATCATCCGGCATCACGAACGGGTAGTGCTATGCTGCTCAGCTTAGGCTCGGTATGCTACAGTAAGCCGGCAAGTCTCCCGGCTTGTTCTTGGAGGAGTACAATAGCTCAAAAGACGGAGTTGCCGCATCTAGGTCGATACGTCTGGACACATCGGCCGCTGCATTGTGCGAACGGTAAGCGGAGCGCTGTAGCGAACCTTACGCAATCCAGAGGTAGCTGACCGTCCTTCTTAGGTCCCATCGTGTCTGGTATGGCGCGACGGAGCACGCAGTCGCAATTGCACTTGATTACGGGAATAGACGAGAGTCCTGCACCGGCGATAGCAGAGACGGAGGAAGGCGCGGTGGCTTCAAACAGTAAGGTTCGAAGGCCCACCAAGGGAGGCATCCCCAATCCACCAGCATGTACCAGCCGGAACCATATCGTCCTGTCTTTGGAGGAGGTTTTTGCGCAGACTCACATGGAGTACTTTTGGGGAGGGGAGTCGAAGAAAGCGGCGGAGTTGTTGCAGTACCCGGCCGTCAGGGCGCGATTGGAAGACGCATTAGCTACGGTACGGACACGCGATAGACTTGAGAATCTGTGTCGGAAGATGCAAGCGAGCAAGCTTGGTGGGCGGAGGGTGATCTGTGGCGTCGAGCGTGCGTTCTCTCCTCGAACCGCTGATAATCTAGTGCCCACGGGTCACGAAGGATGGGCTTGCGTGTATTGTGAGGATTATGGTGCAGCGTGCGTGCAGATCGAGTACAGGGGCGCGCGAACGTTGGTGCCACGGAGGCAGGCCCAGAAGAAAGAGCTCGACATCTCAAACCCGGATGCGTGGGCTGCAGCCGAGGGCAGAAGCTGGTTGCTACATGATGGCGGTAATGCGGGAGGAGCTTGAAGGCGATGTTTCAGCGGACGTCGTGACGTACTGATCGTACGGCATGTCTCTGCTTGGTGCCTCGGCGCACGAACCAAGTGTCACCGCACCTCCGGTGGCGTTGACCTTGCCGGTCTGCTCTTCTGGTGGCGTGGCGATGCATGGAGAGTGCCCCCTGAAGCAAATGGTCGTGGGGTGTACTCATGTGTCATCGCTGGCCCTCGTCAGCTGTGCCGCATGATAACGCCTTCACGAGCGTTTGTAAAGGTGATCATGAAGCTGGATACCAATACAGGTCGAAGCATGGATTTGGTAGCTGAACAACTTGTTTGCCATTCTCCTGTCGGTGTTCATGTTCCACCCTCGCTGTCCCCACCAGCCGCAGTGTGTCCGCCAACATAGGTGTTCGGTGGCCACGGTGGGAGCAAGAACTCGGCTTTACCACATTCTCGTACCAGGAGGCACATGCAAGGCTTCATGTTTCCCGCCTGTAGTAGGTCCAGCCACAACACACAGCCACCGGTCGCATCCACTGTCCTTCTCTTCGGTCCCTTCCATCCTTTACGTTCGCTGCACCCCACGGTCGCTTCCTACCCCTTACGACATAGCTCGCCGCTACCGGTACAAGACTACTTGCTACTAGCCGCTCGCCCCTACCACACGCTCTTGCACCCCGCTTCCACTCCACTTACACTACTCGTACAATACCGCCTGCGATCGTTTCCGCGATATCACTAACCCGGCCGGGGGTTTACATAAAGGGGGCGCTGCTACCGCCTCCATTTCGTCGCAGTACGGACTGCACTTACGAGTTTGCGTAGCGTACCCGTACGACATTTTAAGTAGTATAGCGTGCTTATAGCTCGTAGAAGCGGTTAGCGAGCGATAATAACCCGAGAGTGTCAGAGTAGGTGTGGTAGTGCCGCAGGCGAACCCGTAGCGAGCAGGAAGGGGGTGAGGGTCGTAACCCGCAAAACGACTGTTTTTTTGTGAAATTGAGGGTTAGGGTTAGGGTTAGGGTTAGGGTTAGGGTTAGGGTTAGGGTTAGGGTTAGGGTTAGGGTTAGGGTTAGGGTTAGGGTTAGGGTTAGGGTTAGGGTTAGGGTTAGGGTTAGGGT